TGTCCGCCTACATCATGCAGGACAACCAGCTGCACGGCAACCTCACGGTGCAGGAAGCCATGACGGTGGCCACTAATCTGAAGCTGAGCAAGAAGTTCACCAAGCCGGAGAAGAACTCCATGGTAAGCGGATAATGGGGCTTAGTCAGACGGCAGCTGGGACGGCGCAACAATCAGTCTGGCAATTGGACAAGGTTGATCAAAGCTGCCTCCCAGTCTCGGCAAAGTATTTTTAGCTGGGCGCGGGAACCAGTTCTAATCAGCCGTGGTGGCCAGCCTGCAGCCAAAGTAGCAAGTCACTGTCGTCGGACGAAAATAGAAAATCACTTCCCCCACAGATTCAGCCTCTAATCCCCTTCCAATCACCCCCAGATCGACGACATTCTGCTGACGCTCAGTCTGAGCGAGCACCGCTACACGATGACCCGGAACCTGTCCGGCGGCCAGAAGAAGCGCCTGTCGATCGCCCTGGAGCTGGTCAGCAACCCGCCCATCATGTTCTTCGACGAGCCGACCTCCGGCCTGGACAGCTCCACGTGCTTCCAGTGCATCCACCTGCTGAAGATGCTGGCCGCCGGCGGCCGAACGGTGATCTGCACCATCCACCAGCCCTCGGCCCGTCTCTTCGAGATGTTCGACCAGCTGTACACGCTGGCCGACGGCCAGTGCGTCTACCAGGGCAGCACCAAGCAGCTGGTGCCCTTCCTGTCCACCCTGAGCCTGGAGTGCCCCAGCTACCACAACCCGGCCAGCTATGTGATCGAGGTCTCCTGCGGGGAGCACGGCGACCACACGCGCAAGCTTGTGGAGGCGATCGACAACGGCAAGCGGGACATCCGCTCGGCGGCGGACTACGCCGGGCTGAAGGCCCGCAACGACCTGGTGAAGGTGCAGAACCTGAAGGCCATTCTGGACAAGAACGACGCCTCCAACGTGAGCGGCAGCAAGTACGAGGACAACCTGACCCTCAACAACGGCCTGTCCCTCAACGGGATGGTGAACGACATCGTGAAGGACGGCAACGCCAGCTCCGCCGTGGTGACCACCAACGAGAAGGGCGACGCCATGATCGACGTGGAGAAGACGGACAACTGCACCACGGCCCTGCTCACGGAGGAGATCACTTCGCCGGAGCGCTATCCGACCTCCCAGTTCCACCAGTTCTGGGTTGTCTTAAAGCGAACTCTGCTCTTCAGTTACCGCGATTGGGTGAGTCCTTGCAGGCTCTCCTTATGACCAGTCCTATAATGTCCTCTCTCCTCCAGACGCTCATGTACCTGCGACTGTTTGCCCATCTGCTGGTCGGATTCCTCATCGGCGCCCTCTACTACGACATCGGCAACGACGGCGCCAAGGTGCTGAGCAACTTGGGATTCCTGTTCTTCAACATGCTTTTCCTGATGTACACGTCCATGACCATAACGATTCTCTCATGTAAGCGGTGTTAGATTCAGGCTGATCCTCCTGTATGATAACTCCATTTCATCCATTCCAGTCCCGCTCGAGATGCCCGTGCTGTTAAAGGAGAACTTTAATCGGTGGTACTCGCTGAAGTCATACTACCTGGCTATATCAGTGGCTGATATTCCGTTCCAAGTAGGTTCCTCCGTAGAGTCCCCCACGGCAGTCCTAGTAACACTCGTCTCCTCCTACAGGCAATCTTCTGCGTCATCTATGTGTCCATCGTGTACTACTTCACCTCACAGCCCTGGGAGATATTCCGCTTCTCCATGTTTTTGTCGGCCTGCCTGCTCATCTCGTTCGTGGCCCAGTCCGTGGGCTTGGTGGTGGGCGCCGCCATGAACGTCCAGAACGGCGTCTTCTTGGCCCCGGTCATGTCCGTGCCGTTCCTGCTCTTCTCCGGCTTCTTCGTCTCCTTCGACGCCATACCGGTGTACCTCCGGTGGATCACGTACCTGTCCTACATCCGCTACGGATTCGAGGGCACCGCCCTGGCCACCTACGGCTACGGACGCGAGAAGCTGCGCTGCTTCCAGACGTACTGCCACTTCAAGTCGCCGGTGACGACGCTGGAGGAACTGGACATGCTGAACGCCAACTTCACCCTGGACATTGTGGCCCTGATTGTGATCTTCGTGGTGCTGCGCATCTCGGCGTACCTGTTCTTGCGCTGGAAGCTGAAGACCGTGCGCTAGACTACTTGTTGTTCCACGTACCTACGTTTATTTAGTTTGAAGGAAGCGTCTTGGGGTCTATCCACTATTCTTTGTACATGTTATTTTTGCCTAGTTTTTAGTCTAAGTGATACAGCGCACAGAAGGCTCCAACCGCCTCTGAATTGAAAGAATTGATGAACCAAACATTTCAGAACCATCTTCGATGTAAAAGAATAGATAGCTCAGTAAGTTATTAACCCATTCACCCAAATTTTGCCAAAAAACCATACATGTCTGCATGTATTCATCGATGCTTTGAATGTCTGTGAATAAAGCCTTTTAATACAGCCCTAACTCTACTAATCACCCTTTGTAATGTAACCTACGGAGCACCCCAACTTGCATTCGATATACTCTAGGCCCGCGCCTAGTGATATTTTGTACCAATTTTTGAATACAGGTTTACGATAAATGGTATTTAAGTGTCTTCGAGATATACATATTTTGTAATCACATTTGTATTTATGCATAGTGCAATCGTGGAGGAAATAAAACAATAAAAATAAAACTGAGACACTGTTTTTCTGATGGTTCTGGATGGGGATAGTAGATCTTTTCCTTGAAGACCTAGACATACACCTAAAAGTCAATGGAGAGCCAATTAAGAGCAATCATTGAAAGTAAAGTCAGCCCTCACTTCACAAGCTAAGATCGAGAGACCTCTATGGCTGGAAAAAGCTCTGGGCAGCGCCATCTACCGAGTGGCGAGATCGCGTTATCAACGACCGTTACTGCTCCGCGAATTCAAGCGACATGGCGGGTCTCCTCAGAGTGGCAATTAGGCGAAAGCTCAGCCAGATTGCGGCTTGGAACGACGCCGGGAACAGCGGATACAAAACGAATTGGGCTGTCAAATTATGCGGCATAGCCAGAGCCAGACTCCGTCTAGCGAGGTATCTGTGCCACATTCATGTGGCAGCCACTTGCGGCGCGCGTTCTGGCTCCAGCCGGCTGTTGCAATGAGTTGGCAATTTCGCCTCGGATATGCTAAAAACTGCCTGTAATGGCGGTGCGCGTATCGCTCCCAGTAATAACAATCGTTTTGCAACCTCTTGCTGATTTTTCAATTTCATACCCCAGAAAGCTGTGCGAGCGCGTTCCCCGCCAGTTCTTCCACACGTCCAACAAGATTGGCATTAAGGCAGGTCAGAGGCCCCAGCCCCTGCCAAGTGGCCATTCGTTCGCCCTATAAATAGCCCGGCCGCATCCTGTTCCCAAACTGGTTTGATCCGATCGGGCCTCCCAAGGGCAGAACTGTTCCGCCGCCTTTCTTTGTCTGGGGGAGCCACCTAGCAGCCTGGCAGTGGCGTTCTTCCTGCGGTGAACGGGCGCTCAGTTCGTTTTCGGCCGTCGTCGGTGCAACAAGTCGTCGGGACGCCTCCTCGCTGTCTGGTTGCAGCTCCGCCTCGCCCGCAGCCATGAGAAAGAGAGTGGAAAGCCAGCAGCGCCGCGTAGAAAGTGGAGTAAGTGCATAGCTGCATGGAAGCCACCCGCCACCCTCCGGCTTCCAATGCCAGTGCCCAGGGCCGTGCCAGCGGCGGTGAGTGGCGCACTTACCCAGCATAGTAAACAGTATCCGACCGAGGCGAGGTCGTTGAACCCGAAAGTCGGGAAAACAACTGCAGAATGCGCGAGTGGCAGGGCTTGAATGCGATAGAAACTACACTGTTTGTGGACTGCGACCGCTGGCCCTGCGACTTGTGCCTATTTCCATTTATTAATCGGTTGCTGGGTCAGTAGAGGGAGTTCATTATCAGCCCGGGCTCCGAAAGGGGGCCCTCTAGTGACTGACCTAAAAGATTGCTGTTCCAGATGGGCGCTGCGTTCTCGAATTCGGTGCACATGCCCTGGTGGTGATACGAAAGTGATTAGTTTTGTTAGGAAAACAGAGTGTCAACGAACAGTTCCGGTGGGAGCTTAAATAATCGATTGGGAATGGAACATAAAATAGGTCTTGGCAGCTCCTATAAGATACAAAGTACTACACTCTAAGGTTTGTTTGGGAGACTACTTAACATGGCTGGGCAAATACTCCACCGGTCTCCTTCACAGTCGAACAATGCCGGGAAAATCCAGAATAAGTATTACCTGCGAGCCTTGTGCGGTCTACTCCCCCGATAATGTGTGAGAATTCTGACGAATGAGTAATTACTTGCGAAATGAACTGATGCTTCATAGGCAGACACTGAAAGGTACATATTTGTATTTTGCGGCCCACAATGGGGAATCGTTAATCGCGAACAACACAAAGCTACTGCAAAGTTCAACACTCGCCGCTCCAGTGCATTTGCATGCGCTATTACTCACGCAGCAACGTCCAAAAATGAAATCAAGTTGAAAGCTCCTCCGATTCGCCCGTTGAATACCCTAGAACGTAGCTATGACCCCCTTCACTGAGTAGCCCAGCGCGCCATTTCTCTGCTGGGTACCGAGTGGCCCGTAGGGGAGGCCAATGGTCACGCACCCGATTCGTAGTAGTGGACTGTTTTCATGGCTGGCGATGAAAATAAATGTTTTCCACAGCCACAGATACAGACGTAAATACAAATATTTATGTGCCGCGATCGGGCACTATGTGGAGCACGCAATCAGTGAGAGCTGACCGGGAGCGTGCATTGCGCATTCGCAGTGTGGGCCGCCGGCTATCGGAGAGCATAAAGCTTCCGCCATGGGCTTCCGAGCCCGCTGATAAGAATATCAGTTCTCGCCAAGTGCAGTTGCGACGGCGCATCGTGACGATAGGGGAATCGGTCGGCCCTACTGGAGATTACTCAGCCACGGCCCGCAGCACTCGTTCGCCCCGCGCGTCCGGAGTGGAGAGCCAGAAGCCCGGACAGAAGTGCCGGCCACTCATTCCGACACAAGTCGAGCAGGCTGTCAGTCAATTGAAGACAGCGCTCGCTCGTAGAATTCCCGCTCCGGTCGAGGAACGAATTCACTTAAAGGTTCTTGCTCAGTGCCCGCAGTTGTTCCAAGAAATGCAAATACCCTCTGCAGTACCGCGTGTAATTAAACAAGAATGTCACCCCGCGGGGCGAAGTAGCCAGCAATCAGACTGGGACTAAGACAAATTCGGCAAACTGGTTTAATACCCGAACACTCGATGATTATTAGATTCTTTTGTGTGGACGATGCTGGCAATTAGTTAACCCCCTACCCTCTCGGAGGCGAACGTTTAATTCGAGAATTAGGCATGCCAGTGCCGCGGTGTAGTCCAAGTAATATAGTCCAATCCCATTTATTAAGTGGTCGTTGGCCCATCGTGCGTGAGAAGCCCTGATTCGAAATTACCCCCTTGATATTGAAGTTGCAAGTGCCATTTTTGAAACCCTTAACGGGTTAAGGCTTGTTGTTCGATCGAATCTGCGCCTTTAATATTTGAGAAGAGTGCTCCACCGAGGGGTTATCACCCGCGAAAAACCTTTGCCGAACACAGCTTTCGCCGGCGGCTTGCTGTGCTGAACTGTTCAGTGTTACTACATAGCTTATCACGCCGATGCCTTTCCAGGAGCAATGACTTCGAGGGAGTAAGCGTCCTAAGCCCAAGCTAAGAAGCGTCCGAAATGGAAGCCACCACCAGTACAATCTCGCACACCAGCTCGCTGCAGTACAGCAGCGACATCAACGCCATCAGTATCGAGCAGCCGGAGCACTCGGAGGACCTCCAGTCGCTCACCGGCCTGAAGTACCTGCCAGCCTGGCCGGCGGTCAACCTGCAGTTTGCGGACCTCAGCTGCGAGGTACCCGATCAGGCAAACGGTGAGTAGTTGCGCTGAATCTGTCGTGTTCGATGGCAGCCCATTAGCACCGATAATTGCTCATAATTCCGAAAGTAATCGCCGGGTTGGACCCGCGACTCCCCTGTGCTGCGATTCTAAATTGCAAATTTAAAAGGCAATTATCCCGGCCATTCCATGCCGATAAGTGCTGGTTGCATATTGTTTCTGACCTTTCGACTTTTCTGACCAACACCTTTCCTGACAGCTGGCCAGACGAAACAGATTCTGCGGGGCGTCCACGGGGAGTTCCGCTCCCACGAGCTCACCGCCATCATGGGGCCCTCGGGAGCTGGGAAAACCACGTTGCTGAACCTGCTGGCCGGATTTGGGTAGGACCGGCAGATAAGCCTTCTAATCACTGAGTACTAATGTGCTAATCTTTGACAATACAGCGCCGTGGGCGACTCCGGGGAGATACTCGTCAATGGCAGCCCGCGCGACATGCGTGTCTTCCGCAAAATGTCCCGATACATAATGCAGGTACGAGTTCTAATTCATTTTATTGACTTTTGATGGAATATGATCTGTTTCTTGAGCAGACAGATGTGCTGGACCCCCAGTTCTCGGTGCACGAAATGATGCTCCTCTCCGCTCACCTTAAGCTTGGCAACGAACTGGATCTCAAGCAAAAGCTAGAGGTGGTGAGTAATACTTTCTCTCCAATGTGGAAGCCAACTCATCGTAAACCTAAACAGATCGATGAAATCCTGGAAATGCTTCGCCTGAAGGGATCCGAGCACACAATGACCCCCAAGCTGTCCGGAGGAGAGCGCAAGCGCTTGTGCATTGCCCTCGAGCTGGTCAACAACCCGCCCGTTATCTTCCTAGACGAGCCCACCACGTGAGTACTCCGGATAACCGCCAGTCGAGAATAATACTAACCGCCACCTACCAACAGCGGCCTAGACGACTTATCCAGCTCGCAGTGCATCGCCCTGCTGAAGTCGCTGGCCGCCGGCGGCCGCACTGTGATCTGCTCCATCCACACGCCCTCCGCCAAGATATTCGAGATGCTCGACGCCGTGTACGTGCTCGCCGAGGGCGAGTGCATCTACCAGGGCGGCGGGGCCAGCATTGTGCCTTACATGGAGCACCTGGGTCTGAGCTGCCCGATCACTTACAACCCCGCGGACTTCATCATCGAAGTGGCTTGTCGGGAATACGGCGACTCCTACCACGAACCGATGGTGAAGGCTGTCCTGAACGGAAAGGTTTCACGATGGGCTCCTCCGGGGGAGGACGGAAAGGCCACGCCCACCAAGACGGACACCACCTCGGGAGCCTCGTCCTTCTACGAGATGGAGCAGTTCGACCTGGAGCTCAGTCCGAAGCTTCTGCGGGCCAAGTGCACCTGGTGGATGCAGTACAAGCTGCTGCTGGCCCGGATGCTGCTCCAGATGTGGCGGGACAAGTCCTACATCAAGCTCAAGTTCTACATGAACATCGTGCTGGCCCTGCTCGTGGGTTCGTTGTACTTTGGGATGGGCACCTCGGCCTCCAAGGCGCTGTTCAACTTCGGGTTCATGTTCACCATTGTAATTGCCTACCTGTACCTGCCCATGATGCCGGTGCTCCTATACTGTACGTGATGCGATCCCTTTGTGTTTCCGTTTAATGATATTTTATGTCCACTATTGCAGTTCCCTCGGAGATAAACCTCCTAAAGAGGGAGTACAACAACCAATGGTACCGCTTGAGCGCGTACTACGCCGCCATGGTCTCCTCCAAGCTGCCCTCCATGTTCGTCCTGGCCGTGATCTACCTTTCCATCGTGTACTTAATGTCCAGCCAGCCTCTGGAGTGGTTCCGCTTCGCCATGCTCTTCTCCATAGCCTTCGTCACGGCCCTGACCTCCGACAGTTTCGGGCTGCTCATCTCCAGCAGGCTTAGCTTAGTGGTAAGGGGAAGGACCTTCACTAGATTCGTTTAATCGCTCACCCGCTTCCGTTTCAGAACGCCATGTTCATGGGCCCCGTGCTGGCTGTGCCCCTGATCCTGCTGTCCATCTACGGCATCGGATACGGCCGGGGAAGCTACATATCGCCTCTGATGCGCTTTCTGATGCACCTGAGCTTCCTGCGCCACGGCATGGAGGGCCTCGTCGCCGCCCTGTACGATTACGGCCGCGGCGACACGATCTGCGAGGAGACGGAGATCTTTTGCAGCTTCCAGAAGTCAAAAGTCCTGCTCGCCTTCCTGGGCTTCGAGCAGATGCACTACGCCTGGTCGCTCTTCTGCCTGCTCGGGTTCTACGTTCTCTTCACCTTGGCGGCCTACGTGATGATCCGCCAACGGCTGAAGCGATCAGCAGCCAACCCTATTGTGGCCTACGCCTTGCAGTTGCTTACCAAGTACTTTAACTTTACGTCGTACAATTACTAGAGAAACCAGGACGAGGACGAAGAGCCGGTGTTGGTGCCTTAAGCTAGTTTTAAACCCGAATAAGCCATATGACCTAGAATAAGATTCAGAAATGTATTTACGGTAAGACCGTCTTTAGGGGAAACTGAGTGATATACGGAGAGATCCAAATAAACTTTATTTAAATACAAAAATAGGACTTTCAATTTCCAGGTGAGGGATCAACATTAATGCGCCTGGTAGAGTGCTTCATGGAATACCATTATTTGCCCAAAAGCAGACTAATATTTTTGAAAAAAAAAAAACTTTAAAGTAGCGAATAAGAGCTCAACCTACTAAACACGAAACGGCCTTTAAATCGCCACCCATTTAAATGTTAATATTAAATAATTATGTAAAATATTTCAATAAATAATGACTGTATTGGGCTAATTTTGAACAAACCCGCCATTTCGCACTGTTTTCTGGTATATTCTTTGCCGTTTGACAAATTCTAATACATTTATTCTCAATTTTCATGTTACGCTTTTCTACAATATTTTTTAGATTTTTGTCCGTTTTTCGTGAGGGATCCCTTGAAAATGGGTTTTTCCCCTATATGGCCCACTGCGATGGCTATATCTTCCCCAATTCTCATCCGATTCTCAAGGGGAGTACCTTAAACGATTTCTAGATCGATTCTCCAGCATTCTGCATCAAAATCCTGAGACAAAATATTTTTTCAATTTTTTGTCCATTTTTCCTGATGGGATCCCTGGAAATGGGGTTTTTCCCTATAGGGCTCACTGCGATGGCTATATCTTCCCGAATTCTCATCCGATTTTCAAGGGGATTGTTTTAAACGATTTCTAGATCGATTCTCCAGCATTCTGCATCAAAATCCTGAGACAAAATATTTTTTCAATTTTTTGTCCATTTTTCCTGATGGGATCCCTGGAAATGGGGTTTTTCCCTATAGGGCTCACTGCGATGGCTATATCTTCCCCAATTCTCATCCGATTCTCAAGGGGATTGTTTTAAACGATTTCTAGATCGATTCTCCAGCATTCTGCATCAAAATCCTGAGACAAAATATTTTTTCAATTTTTTGTCCATTTTTCCTGATGGGATCCCTTGAAAATGGGGTTTTTCCCTATAGGGCTCACTGCGATGGCTATATCTTCCCCAATTCTCATGCGATTCTCAAGGGGATTGTTTTAAACGATTTCTAGATCGATCGAGATTCTAGATTCTCCACCATTCTGCATCAAAATCCTGAGACAAAATATTTTTTCAATTTTTTGTCCATTTTTCCTGATGGGATCCCTGGAAATGGGGTTTTTCCCTATAGGGCTCACTGCGATGGCTATATCTTCCCGAATTCTCATCCGATTCTCAAGGGGATTGTTTTAAACGATTTCTAGATCGATTCTCCAGCATTCTGCATCAAAATCCTGAGACAAAATATTTTTTCAATTTTTTGTCCATTTTTCCTGATGGGATCCCCTGGAAATGGGGTTTTTCCCTATAGGGCTCACTGCGATGGCTATATCTTCCCGAATTCTCATCCGATTCTCAAGGGGATTGTTTTAAACGATTTCTAGATCGATTCTCCAGCATTCTGCATCAAAATCCTGAGACAAAATATTTTTTCAATTTTTTGTCCATTTTTCCTGATGGGATCCCTGGAAATGGTGTTTTTCCCTATAGGGCTCACTGCGATGGCTATATCTTCCCGAATTCTCATCCGATTCTCAAGGGGATTGTTTTAAACGATTTCTAGATCGATTCTCCAGCATTCTGCATCAAAATCCTGAGACAAAATATTTTTTCAATTTTTTGTCCATTTTTCCTGATGGGATCCCTGGAAATGGGGTTTTTCCCTATAGGGCTCACTGCGATGGCTATATCTTCCCGAATTCTCATCCGATTCTCAAGGGGATTGTTTTAAACGATTTCTAGATCGATTCTCCAGCATTCTGCATCAAAATCCTGAGACAAAATATTTTTTCAATTTTTTGTCCATTTTTCCTGATGGGATCCCTGGAAATGGGGTTTTTCCCTATAGGGCTCACTGCGATGGCTATATCTTCCCCAATTCTCATCCGATTCTCAAGGGGATTGTTTTAAACGATTTCTAGATCGATTCTCCAGCATTCTGCATCAAAATCCTGAGACAAAATATTTTTTCAATTTTGTGTCCATTTTTCCTGATGGGATCCCTTGAAAATGGGGTTTTTCCCTATAGGGCTCACTGCGATGGCTATATCTTCCCCAATTCTCATGCGATTCTCAAGGGGATTGTTTTAAACGATTTCTAGATCGATCGAGATTCTAGATTCTCCACCATTCTGCATCAAAATCCTGAGACAAAATATTTTTTCAATTTTTTGTCCATTTTTCCTGATGGGATCCCTGGAAATGGGGTTTTTCCCTATAGGGCTCACTGCGATGGCTATATCTTCCCGAATTCTCATCCGATTCTCAAGGGGATTGTTTTAAACGATTTCTAGATCGATTCTCCAGCATTCTGCATCAAAATCCTGAGACAAAATATTTTTTCAATTTTTTGTCCATTTTTCCTGATGGGATCCCTGGAAATGGGGTTTTTCCCTATAGGGCTCACTGCGATGGCTATATCTTCCCGAATTCTCATCCGATTCTCAAGGGGATTGTTTTAAACGATTTCTAGATCGATTCTCCAGCATTCTGCATCAAAATCCTGAGACAAAATATTTTTTCAATTTTTTGTCCATTTTTCCTGATGGGATCCCTGGAAATGGTGTTTTTCCCTATAGGGCTCACTGCGATGGCTATATCTTCCCGAATTCTCATCCGATTCTCAAGGGGATTGTTTTAAACGATTTCTAGATCGATTCTCCAGCATTCTGCATCAAAATCCTGAGACAAAATATTTTTTCAATTTTTTGTCCATTTTTCCTGATGGGATCCCTGGAAATGGGGTTTTTCCCTATAGGGCTCACTGCGATGGCTATATCTTCCCGAATTCTCATCCGATTCTCAAGGGGATTGTTTTAAACGATTTCTAGATCGATTCTCCAGCATTCTGCATCAAAATCCTGAGACAAAATATTTTTTCAATTTTTTGTCCATTTTTCCTGATGGGATCCCTTGAAATGGGGTTTTTCCCTATAGGGCTCACTGCGATGGCTATATCTTCCCGAATTCTCATCCGATTCTCAAGGGGATTGTTTTAAACGATTTCTAGATCGATTCTCCAGCATTCTGCATCAAAATCCTGAGACAAAATATTTTTTCAATTTTTTGTCCATTTTTCCTGATGGGATCCCTTGAAATGGGGTTTTTCCCTATAGGGCTCACTGCGATGGCTATATCTTCCCGAATTCTCATCCGATTCTCAAGGGGATTGTTTTAAACGATTTCTAGATCGATTCTCCAAAATATTTTTCCAATTTTTTGTCCATTTTTCCTGATGGGATCCCTGGAAATGGAGTTTTTCCCTATAGGGCTCACTGCGATGGCTATATCTTCCCGAATTCTCATCCGATTCTCAAGGGGATTGTTTTAAACGATTTCTAGATCGATTCTCCAGCATTCTGCATCAAAATCCTGAGACAAAATATTTTTTCAATTTTTTGTCCATTTTTCCCTGATGGGATCCCTGGAAATGGGGTTTTTCCCTATAGGGCTCACTGCGATGGCTATATCTTCCCGAATTCTCATCCGATTCTCAAGGGGATTGTTTTAAACGATTTCTAGATCGATTCTCCAGCATTCTGCATCAAAATCCTGAGACAAAATATTTTTTCAATTTTTTGTCCATTTTTCCTGATGGGATCCCTTGAAATGGGGTTTTTCCCTATAGGGCTCACTGCGATGGCTATATCTTCCCGAATTCTCATCCGATTCTCAAGGGGATTGTTTTAAACGATTTCTAGATCGATTCTCCAGCATTCTGCATCAAAATCCTGAGACAAAATATTTTTTCAATTTTTTGTCCATTTTTCCTGATGGGATCCCTGGAAATGGGGTTTTTCCCTATAGGGCTCACTGCGATGGCTATATCTTCCCGAATTCTCATGCGATTCTCAAGGGGATTGTTTTAAACGATTTCTAGATCGATGCTCCAGCATTCTGCATCAAAATCCTGAGACAAAATATATTTTCAATTTTCTGTCCATTTTTTCTGATGGGACCACTTGAAAATGGGGTTTTTGCCTATAGGGCTCACTGCAATGACTATACTTTCCCCAATTCTCATCCGATTCTCAAGGGGATTGTTTTAAACGATTTCTAGATCGATTCTCCAGCATTCTGCATCAAAATCCTGAGACAAAATATTTTTTCAATTTTTTGTCCATTTTTCCTGATGGGATCCCTGGAAATGGGGTTTTTCCCTATAGGGCTCACTGCGATGGCTATATCTTCCCCAATTCTCATCCGATTCTCAAGGGGATTGTTTTAAACGATTTCTAGATCGATTCTCCAGCATTCTGCATCAAAATCCTGAGACAAAATATTTTTTCAATTTTGTGTCCATTTTTCCTGATGGGATCCCTTGAAAATGGGGTTTTTCCCTATAGGGCTCACTGCGATGGCTATATCTTCCCCAATTCTCATGCGATTCTCAAGGGGATTGTTTTAAACGATTTCTAGATCGATCGAGATTCTAGATTCTCCACCATTCTGCATCAAAATCCTGAGACAAAATATTTTTTCAATTTTTTGTCCATTTTTCCTGATGGGATCCCTGGAAATGGGGTTTTTCCCTATAGGGCTCACTGCGATGGCTATATCTTCCCGAATTCTCATCCGATTCTCAAGGGGATTGTTTTAAACGATTTCTAGATCGATTCTCCAGCATTCTGCATCAAAATCCTGAGACAAAATATTTTTTCAATTTTTTGTCCATTTTTCCTGATGGGATCCCTGGAAATGGGGTTTTTCCCTATAGGGCTCACTGCGATGGCTATATCTTCCCGAATTCTCATCCGATTCTCAAGGGGATTGTTTTAAACGATTTCTAGATCGATTCTCCAGCATTCTGCATCAAAATCCTGAGACAAAATATTTTTTCAATTTTTTGTCCATTTTTCCTGATGGGATCCCTGGAAATGGTGTTTTTCCCTATAGGGCTCACTGCGATGGCTATATCTTCCCGAATTCTCATCCGATTCTCAAGGGGATTGTTTTAAACGATTTCTAGATCGATTCTCCAGCATTCTGCATCAAAATCCTGAGACAAAATATTTTTTCAATTTTTTGTCCATTTTTCCTGATGGGATCCCTGGAAATGGGGTTTTTCCCTATAGGGCTCACTGCGATGGCTATATCTTCCCGAATTCTCATCCGATTCTCAAGGGGATTGTTTTAAACGATTTCTAGATCGATTCTCCAGCATTCTGCATCAAAATCCTGAGACAAAATATTTTTTCAATTTTTTGTCCATTTTTCCTGATGGGATCCCTTGAAATGGGGTTTTTCCCTATAGGGCTCACTGCGATGGCTATATCTTCCCGAATTCTCATCCGATTCTCAAGGGGATTGTTTTAAACGATTTCTAGATCGATTCTCCAGCATTCTGCATCAAAATCCTGAGACAAAATATTTTTTCAATTTTTTGTCCATTTTTCCCTGATGGGATCCCTTGAAATGGGGTTTTTCCCTATAGGGCTCACTGCGATGGCTATATCTTCCCGAATTCTCATCCGATTCTCAAGGGGATTGTTTTAAACGATTTCTAGATCGATTCTCCAAAATATTTTTCCAATTTTTTGTCCATTTTTCCTGATGGGATCCCTGGAAATGGAGTTTTTCCCTATAGGGCTCACTGCGATGGCTATATCTTCCCGAATTCTCATCCGATTCTCAAGGGGATTGTTTTAAACGATTTCTAGATCGATTCTCCAGCATTCTGCATCAAAATCCTGAGACAAAATATTTTTTCAATTTTTTGTCCATTTTTCCTGATGGGATCCCTGGAAATGGGGTTTTTCCCTATAGGGCTCACTGCGATGGCTATATCTTCCCGAATTCTCATCCGATTCTCAAGGGGATTGTTTTAAACGATTTCTAGATCGATTCTCCAGCATTCTGCATCAAAATCCTGAGACAAAATATTTTTCAATTTTTTGTCCATTTTTCCTGATGGGATCCCTTGAAATGGGGTTTTTCCCTATAGGGCTCACTGCGATGGCTATATCTTCCCGAATTCTCATCCGATTCTCAAGGGGATTGTTTTAAACGATTTCTAGATCGATTCTCCAGCATTCTGCATCAAAATCCTGAGACAAAATATTTTTTCAATTTTTTGTCCATTTTTCCTGATGGGATCCCTGGAAATGGGGTTTTTCCCTATAGGGCTCACTGCGATGGCTATATCTTCCCGAATTCTCATGCGATTCTCAAGGGGATTGTTTTAAACGATTTCTAGATCGATGCTCCAGCATTCTGCATCAAAATCCTGAGACAAAATATATTTTCAATTTTCTGTCCATTTTTTTCTGATGGGACCACTTGAAAATGGGGTTTTTGCCTATAGGGCTCACTGCAATGACTATACTTTCCCCAATTCTCATCCGATTCTCAAGGGGATTGTTTTAAACGATTTCTAGATCGATTCTCCAGCATTCTGCATCAAAATCCTGAGACAAAATATTTTTTCAATTTTTTGTCCATTTTTCCTGATGGGATCCCTGGAAATGGGGTTTTTCCCTATAGGGCTCAATGCGATGGCTATATCTTCCCCAATTCTCATCCGCTTTAATTCTTATCAAATATCAGAATATATTCAAATTTCACAGCTATAATCCCGCCAAATACAAAAATCATCATTTTTACAAGAGATAATCTGCTAGCTTTGGTTCAAAATGGCGTCTGCGGTGCATGTGTGCCGATCCTACTATCGATAACTATCGAATTTGGCGGGCTAAAGTTTGAATCGAAACGGGTAAACTTTTAGATGAGTTAGATTCGTACTTATTTATTTTTATTCAAAACGTGTCTCCATCTAGAATAAAGTAAATAATCGAGTAGATCAGGGTTATTAATTGAAACTTCTGATTAGGTTTATTTCATGGATCTTGTCATGAGAAAGTACATGTATGCCTCTTTCGGACTTACACGCATTTACAATTGTATCGGGCTTAAATTACCTTACTTTTTTGCAAACCAATAGACTTATAGAAACAAACCAACTGATAGACTTGGGTCTTTTATGCATTACAAACTTTTTATCTGTATTTGTAATATATTTTTGTAAAGGAAAATACATTATCTTAAATGGTTGATTGGTTACAGAAAATACAAAGACAGCATGTAATATACAATCGAGTTTAAAAACGTTTTGGCTAAACACTTACACAACGCACAATCGACAACACAAACCAGAAATGGTAAAAGATACAAAAATATATGTTTACAATTTTAAAACATGAGAAGTGGTGCGTAATTTCTAAGCAAAGGACATCTAAGTTTTTACAATTCCAGAGGGACTTACAATGCGCGGAAGGTGTGGGGCAGGCTAATTACATGTTTTCGTTTTCATATTTCTGTTTCTGTCTTGTTTAGTTTTGTGTTTTGTTTAGTTTTGTGATAACAGAACTGAGCGACGATTCTATACTATTTAAATGTATAACTAAAGCTCGTCGAATTGTGGCGGAGCTCTCTATTAAGTATATATATGCGGGTAGTATGAAGACTACATCTAGTGCTGCCCGAGGCAGCCGGGTTTAAATTAAACGGCGAAGTGCGCCGGGGATTGGGACCGGGTGGAGGCGGAATCGAAAGCCCAGTAGGAGTGGCAGCTAGCTTCGCCGACTTGGGGTATCTTTAAAAAGAACGAAACTAAAAATTACGTTGCTGTTGCGGTATCTGCGGATGCTGGTGTTGACGATGATGACATAGCCGATGCCGATGGCGTTGGTGAGGGCCTCGACCTCTTAGCACGTGGTGATAGCGGGAGAGGGGTCGCGTCCTGTTCTAGTCAGTTGATCTCCAAATGCTTGGCCTCCTCCCACGGGAATCCGGTGCGTCCGAAGTGACCATATGTGCTGGTGCGCTGGTAAATGGGCTGGCGCAGGTTCAGGTCCCTGTGAAGAGCAGAAATATAGAAAATGGCCAACTCAAGAGCCGTGTTTCCAACTCACTTGACAATCTTGCCGGGCCTGAGGTCAAAGTTGCGCTTGATGATGTCCAGAAGCTCCTTCTGCGACTTGTGGGACGTGCCGTAGTCGAAAACGGTGATGGACAGCGGCTCGGCAAGACCGATAGCGTACGAGACCTGGACGAGGCAGCGCTTGCAGAGGCCGGCCTTGACCAAGGACTTGGCCACCCAGCGAGCGGCGTAGGCCGCCGATCGGTCGACCTTTGTGAAGTCCTTGCCGGAGAAGGCGCCGCCGCCGTGGGCGCCCCAACCACCGTAGGTGTCGACGATGATCTTGCGGCCGGTGAGGCCGGCGTCGCCCATGGGGCCTCCGATGACGAACAGGCCGCAGGGATTGATGTGCACGATGGTGTTGGCATCAATGTATTTGGCGGGAATGACGACTTTCACAACTTTCTCCATGACCTCCGAGCGCAGGGTCTCCAAGGAAATCTTCTCAGAGTGCTGCATGGACACCACAATGGTGTGGACGCGCTTGGGCACCGCCGATCCCTGGTTGAAGAGGTACTCGCAGGTGACCTGTGTCTTGGAGTCGGGACGGGCCCACCAGAAAACGTCTGAGCGGCGCAGCTCGGCGATCTTCTCGTTCAGTTTATGGGCCAGGACGACGGTGAGGGGCATGCACTCCTCGGTCTCGTCGGTGGCATAGCCGAACATGATGCCCTGCAAAGTGGGTGTTTATGGTTAGCAGTGTTTCTAGAGGGTTCACAGGTTACCAAGCAAACGGAAGCGAACCAAACCAAACTAATCAGTGGTGTTAGCGGATAAATACACTTGTGTTAGGTGACTCAAGCACATGGGATGGGGGATGACAGTGGAGGCTACGAAGCAAAATATGGTTTCTATGTTATGTGGAGCGGGAGTCTGCCTGGTTTTGCGCATTTGTCATTCGAAGCGTGCTGCTGACATAGGACTGGGGCACCGACTGGGTAAATAAGCCCAATCAGATACCAGGGAGCTAGCCGTTCGCAGCTTCGAATGGCAAATCGGGGCAGAGGCGCGGTGTGTCGTGTCGGTGTCGGTGTCGGTGTCTGTGTGCCGCGTTACTACATTAATGTGGTACAATGCCAAAGTATAGATAGAACTACAAATTTATAAATAGAGCGATGCAGCGGAGTTCTCTGACACACTCCTTCGATTAGTTACGAAAAGGTTAAATCATAAAACACAAATCGTGCGAGCGCTGGCGGGGAAGCCCCTCCGGAGGAGCCCGGCCACCACGGATACCCGCCACCGACCGGGAAGCCCGGCTCTTCGGAGGGACCGGCTGTCCCCTGCCGGGCTGCACGGCTTCTAGAAGTTGTGGTAGTTCACACCTGGTCTCCGGCACCGATCTCTTCCTCGGCGCGGTTCACATGCACTCCGGCCGCGATTTCGGGCGATTGTTGGTCCAATGCCAGGAGCACGTTGCACGTTTTGAAATCGAAACCTTTTCGAGGCGGATTTCGAGTTCGGAAAGTGAGAGATGGTTTGGTTTGTGTTGTGTTTTTGGTGGTTACATATGAAACGAGAGAGAAAGATAAAAGAAAGGGCACAGCACACGCCGGTGGTGCACGCACACAGGAAATATATGTCTGTAAGTAATGTTTACACAATATGATTCGATCACCCAACTACTAGCTAGATTATAAATAGTAATGCCGCTCTGCCGGAGCCTCGCCTGATGGATCTGCCGCACTGGGGTCGGGTTGGTTAGGAAGAGCCGCATGCAATTCGCTGGATTCCTGGGTTCGTTAGCTATTGAGTCGCTTTATGGGGTTTTTAGGGTTCACCATGGGTTTAGTAAGATGCAAGTGGTGTGGTTAGAGCCCCTTTTGGGGCCATGTGGATGTGTACACCTGTGAGGCAATAATCTTGCTCAGCGTCAGTTTAATTCCAATGTTTAATGACATTTTTTATTTGATTTAAAAAAAAATTGTATATAATGGGGAGGATTCTTGGAAGTTTTTGAATAATTCATTGACTTTGTGATTCAGAGAATGGTTCGGATCCTCCTCTACCACTGAAAAGCATTCTTGTTCTTGGGTGGATCTGGCCGGACGGTATGGGGATGAGGGTCTCCTGCCCGCAAGGTCGCGGGCGAGGAGGCTTGATGGGGAAACACTGAACAGAATGAAACGCAACGAACGAAGAACGAACGAACGAACGCACACACACTCTTCCGCATCGGATTAGGACTAGGAGTAGGGATAATCTTGCAGTACCTGGTCACCAGCGCCGACGTCCTCTTCCTCGCGATTGATGTGCACGCCGCTGGCAATGTTGGGCGACTGTTGCTCGATGGCGACGAGCAGGTTAAGGGTCTTCCAATCGAAACCTTTTTAATTGTGTTACGGTTTAAATGAGTACTGGCTTTGGAAGACCTATCTAGTCCTGAAAGTCCCGCCCGCAAAAGGATCTCTTCTATGCTAAGTAAACACTTACCCTTAGAGGAGTCGTCGTAGCCGATGTGCTGGACTGTCTCGCGCACCACCTTCTGGTAGTCGATCACGGCTTTGGATGTGATCTCGCCGCAGAGCAGAATCATGCCCGTCTTCGCCACGGTTTCTGTGTGAGAAAATAAATGGGTTAGTCGCCCAAGGAAAGCGGAACCTTTCCATCCATCCATCCATCCATCCAGCGAGCTTTGTTTATTTGTGCTGACATCGCTTCGGGCGGGTGCACACGCCAGTGTTTACTTTGCGGGCAAGTTTATTTTCTGATGGTCTGTCGCCTGCTGTCTCTATGGGCGCCTTTCAGCTCGGGGACACACTATCAAAAAACGATTTCGGAGCTCCGCAGAGGTCACTAGCCTGGCCGGCAGCCTGAGCCGCTGGCTGGACGGGAGGATGGACGGATGCGTTGGGGCAGGACACTCACCACACGCCACCTTGGCGTTGGGATCCTGCTTCAGGTGGGCGTCCAAAATAGCGTCGCTGATCTGGTCGCACATTTTGTCTGAAAAGCAAGAAGAGAGGCGACGGCTGTTAGTGGGTGTGCCAAATAGTTGCTCGCAGATGTGCTAGCTCCCCAATCTCTGCCCCTGCCCCTGGCCCGGCGGCGGTGGCGGTGTTGGTGGCTCTTCAGTCGCCGCCTAGGCGGCGAAAATTGCCGGGCAGTGCAGTTTATTTTAACTTTTCAGTCTGCGATTGACAGCGAAATTCAATGCCATTGTGTGTCTATAACTCGGAACACGAGCCTCGGGTTGTAAAGAACAAACAAGACGGAAAGCCTGCGCAGGGATCGTCGGCGTCGTCACACTTGACACCAGTCGCGCTGCCCCGAAACCGGAGCCCTTCGTTTTTTGGCAGGTTTTTCATTGGAAACAGCGTTATTGAACTCGATTATTGCGTCAGACATGTGGGGCCTGTGGGGCGAGTGATTTGGCGTAAGCTCGAGTGTTCTGCGTCTCAGATTCGGCTGTGAATCTGATAGGTGGCCTATGGGAAGTGAGTCGGGACTCTGGCCGGGCAGGGCCGGAGATGTTTGCTGGCCGGCCCGTCACTCATTCGTCACCGCAGGACAGGTGAAATTAGGGCTGGCCCTTCCGGAAACAATGCCCACTCCCAGAAAGCGTCCACGATTATCGGAGCGGAGCTGACTGGAACTTAATTAGCGTTATAAACTTCGACGGTGCGGGTAAAAGCAATCAATGCGTAGTAGAAAAGGTCGCTTCTCCCTTATCAGGAGTCGCGCATATGTTGCCGTGGCCACAGCCAGTCACATCGCCTCGAAAATCCACAGCCAGCGCTGATACATATAAACAAAACGGGCTGCTCCGGCTAGGGCTTGAGCGAAACACGTGGTTGGCAAAATCGCTGGGAAGACGGGCTAGCAACGTGGGTTTGTTTTAGTTTGGCCCTTGTTTTGATCGCCGTCTCCGAAGTGAGGCACCAGCAGCATGACGAAGAGAGCGGTTCGTCTGAGTGCGATACGAGCCGGCCACTCTTCCCCAGAAGCAGAAGCAGAAGCACATGGTGCGCATGACGCAAATTCCGCGGGCCTGTGAGAGAGGTAGCGATAAAGAACCAGTCTATAAATTGCGTCGCCGGAGCTGTGCGGGGGGGTTTTGGCACACAGGCCACTGCCAGCTGTTTTCCTGGCTATTCGGAGGAGTTTCAGGCCGCCGGCTGCCGCTAACAGACCTCTTCTTTGACCACCTTCTAGTTGGCCAGCCTAGAAGGCGGCTCTTGGCGGCCAGCTTAGTAAACAAGCACGAGTTGCTGGCCCCCTCCCACCACCGCTCACAAATTGGAAGCAGACGACTGACAAAAGCGCTACTCCGACGCCATTTTGTTAGATCTCAGCTGTGGCCCGGCCACAGTCCCTGGAGAAACAATTTGGTTAGGTTAGGAACAGGCGACGCAGCCGTACTGCCCGCATCCGTATCTGCCACGGCTGCAGCCCCTGTCTCGTGCACTCCGCATGCACGCTCATCGGGCTGTGATGCAATCGATTGCGGCTGGCGGCCCGCTCTGAATGGGGCTTACCTGGATGTCCCTCGCCGACGGACTCGGAGGTGAAGAGGAATGTCTGGCCATCCTCCATGTCGTAGGAGTTGCCGTTGCTGCCGTTGCAGCCGTTGGAGGCTCCGCTGTGTCCGTTTGTCTTCTGCTGCGGCATTCTGAGGCTGATGATGCTTCTCTGGGGTGTCTGGTAGTAGTCTTCTGCAGGGGATTCGGCTTTCGGCACACGGAAATCACTTGCTTCCAGTCGGGTCAGTGGTTGGTGGAGCTGCGGGGCGAGATAACAAGAGAGAATTCGTTATAGCTTGACGAAATTGATTTTCCTAACTCTCGCAAAACACACTATTTTCGCAAGTGCCGCGTCCGCTGATGTTGCTGCGGGATTTTCCGGTTTTCGCACTATGTCCGCAGCGTACGGTTCTATTTTTTATATAATCGCGAGCGTATTTCACCCGTTGTGCGCTGTTTACCGCATCAGGGGAGCTGGGGGTGGGCTAGACCACGGGGCTAGCACAGACCATACACGCACGACACGCACGTTCCCAGCGATTGGTTCTTTCTGTCGGAACGAGGGGGAGAAAACCGAAACGAGTCGGGGCCAGGGCCAGTTCTAGTTCTGCTAGCGCGGAATTATATTAGCTATTTGTTCGATAATTTATACACACTGATTCTCAACTGTTGTGTTGTGTTTCGACGACGGCTTCGGCAACCAAATCAGCGCAACCAGCAGCAGCACACGTCCTATCTTGACGACGGTTTTGTAGGAAAAGAGCGCACACTTGCCGCGACTCTCCGCATTTATACCTCGCGCTGCTCCGGTTGCAAAGAGCGCGGCGCCAGAGCAAGCTGGGGAGCTGGCGGGGGAGCAGGGTCGGGGGCGACTCCCTTCGTCGTATTTTTGGGGATTGCTGGGGCGCTCTTCCCCACAGAACCTACCGTTCCTTGGTGGTCAACTTAGTCAGCATCTCCACGTTTTTCGGGCAATCAGCTGGGCCGCAGCCTTGCCACCCTGTTTTGCTCTGCTAACTGTGCGGATCTGGGTCCTTTCCACTTACCGGATTCTAGATTTGAACGTTGGAACTCCGAAGGACTCCAAAGGAAGGACTAATCAACCTGCTTCTTGCTCGGACTGGCTTCGACTGCTGTCGATTTCAGCGAATGCTAATTAATATAATTTCGACTGGCCGCACGGCGCTCGGAAAGATGAGTCGGCGAAATCAGAGCTTATCAGAATCAAAACTATGTGCTACTATTCGAGGCTATATAGCGGCTAACCTTTCGAGATCTGTAATTACTCTCTCTGCCGCCGATTTATATATAGCTTGGCGAAACGCGAAATCGATGACTGGGACTAATTCCTACTGAAATCCTAGCTGGAAGTGATCGACCGCCTGGGAGAGATCACCCGACACTCGCGGAATTCGGGGTTTCCATACGCGACAATCTACCTCGAAAAAATGCCCACGTCATGCTATGTCCAAGACAAACAAGGTCTGCCAAGATCAAGGCGCTTGGTAATCAGCTCCGGCCATATCATCTCGGGTGAAATTTCTAATTTCCAACGAAGAGACCGAGAACAACAAAGCTCGCTAGCCCAGTAGGACCTCCAGACCCGGCCCCATTATCTTCCAAACGATGTGACCCCCCGGGGTCTCCCGAGGATCGCGTGGGTCTCAATAACAAAATGGACAGATGTTCATGTACGTACGTTCTGTGCCGGTATGCAAATCGCTTTCGAAATCTCTATTGTAAGTTTCGAAAAAGCAAAGCTTGCATTGAAAGTGTTTTTCTGATATCCTAACTAAGATAAACTTTTAAGAAAATTTCCGAATCCAACTTAAAAGGGTATTAGAAACCGGAAACTTCCTGTTTTTAGCGTATTAAGGTTTTATACTGGAACTACAAAGTATTCTGTAGATGTCCAAAGTTTTAAATGGTTCTTGGATTTTACTTCCTTAGTAGGGGTTTTCAGTGTTGTTGGCTTCAAATAATAGCCAAAAAGAAATGACTCTTTCTCTTAAACCTGTTTTGGAATCACAATCAACCTCTTAGGGGTCCACCTTCATTGAAGAACCTCTGGCTCTGTTCATCCCGTTGGGAAACAAAGTTACTTAATCTCTGCACAGGAGGAGAGCTATCAACAAAGGCCTCTGACCCAGCAAAGCGTGACTTGCCGAAACGCCAAGTGACGCCTGGCAAACTGATGATTAATAATCTTGTTTTTGCGCTAGTTCGCTTTGAATCAATTAAACGCTATTACAGGCACAATTTCCGTTTGAATTTGGGCAAACACGCGCCAACCCAGCAGTTACATCGTGATTATGTGGCAACTCTGTACGATAAACGAGAACCGACTCCCCCAAACAGCTGATAAACTTGAAGGAAAACAAATTTTGAAATTTTATTAAATGCTTCGAAACTCATCATGAACCTGCGGCGCCTGGGCCTGTTCTGGAGTGTGGCTTTATCCTGCATCGTCGCGCTCGCGGCGACGGAGGACCTCCAAAAAGATGACATCTCACCAAAAAACTCGACCTTATTGGAAAGTACCAGCATTTCAACGAATCCACACCCTGACGCGTCAGCTATTGCCAGTCCGGCGGCTAATGCCTCATCCACATCAACCACAATAGCTCCGCGCAACGGAACTACCAGCACTACAAAGAAAGGCAATGCCTCCTCGGTGGCCACGGAGCCGCCCCTGATCGACTCTCATGCGGTGGAGCAGGAGCACAACTCGTCCCTCTCTCTGTTCTTTGTCATCTGCGTGATTATGCTGGGTATTCTCCTGATCCACCTCATGCTTCAGACAGGCTTCCAGTACCTGCCGGAGAGCATTGTGGTGGTGTTCCTGGGCGCCTTCATTGGACTGTCCCTGAACGTGATGTCCGGTCAGAATGGGAGCTGGAAACGGGAGGAGGTGTTCTCCCCTATGGGATTCTTTCTAGTGCTCTTACCGCCAATCATTTTTGAGTCGGGATACAATCTGCACAAGGGTAACTTCTTCCAGAACATAGGCTCTATCCTGGTCTTCGCTATATTCGGCACGACCATCTCGGCCTTGGTCATCGGAGCTGGGATCTACCTACTGGGACTGGCCGAGGTGGCCTTCCGGTAAGTGACCTATACCTTGTCCGGCATTCTGCTAATCTTTGGTGCTTTTGCAGGCTCAGCTTCTCGGAGTCCTTCGCCTTCGGATCGCTCATATCCGCCGTGGACCCCGTAGCCACTGTAGCCATATTCCACGCCTTGGACGTGGACCCTATCCTAAACATGTTGGTTTTCGGCGAGAGCATTTTGAACGATGCCATCTCGATTGTGCTGACTGCATCCATTACCCAGTCGGCTAACGCCAACGCAGAGGCCAGCACGGGCGAGGCCATGGTGGGCGCCCTCAAGACCTTCTGCGCCATGTTCTTTGCCTCCGCGGGCATTGGCGTCATCTTTGCCCTGATCTCGGCCCTGCTGCTCAAGCACATCGACTTGAGGAAGCACCCTTCGCTGGAGTTCGCCATGATGCTGATGTTCACCTACGCCCCATACGTCCTGGCCGAGGGAATACACTTGAGCGGTAACGGGAAGCCTCCGCTTCGCAGAACTTGTTTACTCATTGAATCCATCCTTGCAGGTATTATGGCGATACTGTTCTGTGGCATTGTCATGTCCCACTACACTCACTTCAACCTGTCCACGGTAAGATTCTTACGTTGCTCCAACGTTTCCAGCCTCACTTAGCTCTTCATCTGCAGGTCACCCAAATCACCATGCAGCAGACAATGCGTACTCTGGCCTTTATTGCGGAAACCTGCGTCTTTGCCTACCTGGGCCTGGCTATATTTTCCTTCAAGCACCAGGTGGAGCTGTCGTTCGTCATCTGGGCCATTGTCCTCTGCCTAATTGGACGAGCCTGCAACATCTTTCCCCTCGCCTTTTTGGTCAACAAGTTCCGCGAGCACAAGATCAACAACAAGATGCAGTTCATCATGTGGTTCTCCGGACTGCGTGGCGCCATTTCCTACGCCCTTTCGCTCCACTTGAACCTCGATAGCCAGGAAAAGCGACACGTTATCATAACGACCACGTAAGTGACTACTTGACCCCGACACAGTTCAGTTAGCTTTGATTTGAAACTTCCAGACTGATAATCGTGCTTTTTACCACGCTGGTGCTGGGCGGCTCGACAATGCCACTGCTCAAGTACCTCAAGCCCGGGAAGAAACGTCGGACACGTGGCTTCGCACGCTCTACGGAGGAGGGCGGTCGCCGCAGCGGCAGCCGGAAGCGTTCCAAATCGATTTCCCTGTCCAAGACCCGCGAGTGGGGACAGGCCATCGACTCCGAGCACCTGTCCGAGCTCACCGAGGAGGAGGACGTGACCTTCACCCAGGCCCGCGACCGCTTCGGCCGGCTGGACCGCAAGTACTTCATTCCGTTCTTCACGCGCCGCTTCAACAGCCAGGAGCTGCACGAGTGCAAGTCGCAAATGGCGGACCTGACGAACAAGTGGTACCAGGCGATCCGGGTGAGCCCCCTGGACTCGGACGAGTCCGACGAGGAGATAGGACTGGCGGCGAGTACTAGTCAGAGCCATCTGACGCGATCCTAGGTCCCGAGCAGGGCTGGCCTATGCGCCGGGAGAAGTCCGAGGCTGTGTCGATGCACATGTGTGTGGCCAAAGGGAACGGGTCGTAGTTGCGGCCCAAGTGTAGCTTAGTTCAATGTACCGGTGGCGGTTGCTTTTGTTATCCTTGTGTTATATAGTCCTGTTCCTTAGTTTCATTTGTGTACTTTAGTCTGTTATTCACCGGCTTGAAGCAGTATTTGCCTCACAACACCTACGTAAAAACTAGCAACTTGTAGAAAAGTATTTTCGTGGCTGTATTTGTGATTTTGTAAGATTTTGAACCAAAAATATAATAAATATCTGAATGTGATATCCAACCAGGACTGTTTAAGTTGCACTTGAAACTAGATGAAAGCCGAGTGGTTTCCTTTTTACATAACAAAATTTTTACATGCATTTGGCAAATTATAAACTTTTACAAATTGGTAATATTAGTGCCTAATTAAACTAAAATTGACTACAAAAGGTGACCCGGGCGTGGCTGTTCGTGCCGCAGCAACCTCGCTAGAGCTCCTCGTTCGGGGACGTGGAAGCCGCCTCCTCGTTGCCGACTGCAAACAAAATACAGAAGATCGTTTTAGGAATGCTTGTGCGCCATTTTTCGCTTGTGCTTAATCAAAAATACTGATGCTGCCCAACACACTGCGTCCCGATCTTGCGGACCTTATAACGACTTCATGATCAGCTCCTCCAACTGTTTCGTGTCGATCTCCGGCTGGCGCCCACCCTCCGGCGCCGTGTTGAGCCAGTACTCGGAGGTGGCGATGTACACGGCCACAGCCGCGCCTACAATGCAGCCCCAGGCGATGTGGGCGGAGCTATTGAAGATGACGCAGGTGGCCACGCACATGCCGAGGTATGTGAGCAGGCGCGTCATGCTCACATACGAATCGCGCTGCTCCGAGGAAAGGTCTTTACGCGCAGACATGTAAACAGGGTTGATTAGACATCGTTCAACCGCTTCAACTCTCGCTGGAACACTCACCGTGGCACTTTCCGTCCTTAAGCTGGTACCCGTCGGCGCATTTCTTGCACATGTCCGGGCCGTCACCGTCGCAGCCGTTGCAGGATCGGTCGCACTCGAGGCAAGTGAAGGAACCCTCGTTGTTTACGCAAAACTGCTGCTCGCGGCAGGCGTTTGGCCGCTGCTGTTCCAGACACTCGTTAATATCCACACAACCGGACTCTGTGTCCATCCGCCAGCCGTCCTTGCACTTGCGGCAGCTTTTGGGACCAGCCCCGGTGCAGCCGCCCTCGCCGCATGCCGCGTGGCATTGCGTGCACAGAAGCTTCTTTTCGTCGCGGAAAGACTCAAAGTGCTGCGGGCCGCACTCGTTGCAGTTGGTCCCTGTATATCCAGCGTCGCACAGGCACTTGCCGTTGCCCTTCCGCGTCCCGGCTCCCTTGCATTTTCCTGAAAATGGGGGGTTAATAAAATTCCAATATCTTCAAACAAGCACCAACCGTTCCCGTTGCAGTCTGCACAGGGTTCACAATTGGGGCCGTAGGTGTCTGGCGGACAGCACACTCGCAGCTGCTCCACGCAAAGCCAGACATGAATGTCCGGCTGCTCCCCCTGCTTGTGGGTGAACCAGTCCTCGATGAGAGTCTCATGTTCGTTGGCGAGGTTGTGGCAGTGATCCTTGTTAGTGACCGAGGCGTCGGAGCAGAGCTTCTCTTGGATCTCCACGAGTCGCACCTCGCTGTTCTTGTAGGAGCGTAGTTTCTCCTCCTCCCAGGCCGTGTCCCCACCCCCATGTCCTCGTTTGGTGCGCTCAAGTCCTGCCTTAAAGGACCCCGCAAGCTGGCTGCAGGCCCTGCATGGCGGTGGAGATAGCTTGTCGGCCGACGCCCTGGTCACTATCAGGACCATCAATACCGCTAATAAGTCTCTGACTCTCATAGTTCTATAAATTCCTTGGTATTCCCGGCGAGTTCTTAAGTTTACGTGTAATTAGAATGTATAAAAGTGTTTGAAAACACTGTTTCATTATTTAAGTTGGTTGCAGTGTTGCCAGAAAGTCGAGGACAACTTTAACCGGTTCGTGAGAACGTGTTGGAAAACACAGACATCCGGGTTATCGATAATATAGGCGGTCAAATTAAGTTTACTTAAATCATTTAAATTAAACATTATTGTAAACAATATCTTTATTTATATACCTAAATCTGTTTACATTTCATTAGGGTTGTCGTTTGTATTGGGACCAAAAACTTCGTCAACAACGGATGCTAAAGGAGGCGACTCCTCCTCCTCAGTGTCCATCTGAGCCATATATTCGTCCAACCGCTCCAAGGACTCCAAAGCTTCACGGGACTCTTTGTCTTCCAAATAGGTGTGCGGGTGTATGTGTGCCAGGACATGCTCTTCGGCCTGCTGGCTGGAGGTCGGATCAGATCGGTTATAGCTGCCGTACAGCTCGCGTAGTGTCGTCCGGGTAAGGTTGAATTCGCGCATCCCGAAGCTCATTTTCTGGGCATCCTCGGCGGCCTCGCGTCGTGCAGCCTTCCGTTCATCGTGGGCCAATTGCTCATCCGCCGTGCGTTGTACTCCCCCGTTTGCCGAGCTGTGGCGGGAGGACCAGGAGCTAGAGGCCGACTTGCGGTTGCGGTTGATGATCTGACGGCACTTGTTTGTGATACCGCCCACTATCTCGGACACCAGAGCCGTGGCTCCCAGGAAGTAGCCCAACGCCATCAGCAGGAACATGCCCTCCGTGTCGGCCGTCGTCAGCTGGCGCTCCTCCTGGATGATTTCGCGCAGCGAGGTCGATGAGCTGGCCTGCAACAGACGACCCGAAGCCGAGCGTTGCATAGCCCAGCTTACCTCCTTGTTGATCTTACTTATTAGGCCACTCTGCTGGGCCAGCAGGATCATCGAATCGATCTTCCGCTTGTAGACCGATTCCCGGGGGAAGAGGAACCCGATCTGGAAAAGGGCGAAACACTCCTCGCTCAGATGGAGGGCCGAGCGTCGCGATATGTTCCTGGAGGATAGTCAAGTTAATGTTCTGATGAACAAACAAGGATAGTTAGTTACTCATCAGAAAAATTCGACTGCACCAGGTACTCCAGCTGGGCCTTGGAACCCAGGAAGGCATAGTTCCAGAAGAAGCTCTGCGTCACGTTTCCAATACCTTCCTCGAGCGTCCCGACGAACTCCATCTTCTTGTACAGCCTGGAGGTCGGGATGTGCGTGGAGTTCTGAAACCAGCTCTCCCAACCACCATTGTCTATGAAGTAAGTCCCACAAAACCATGCCATTAAAATTAATACAATATTTGGTTACCTTACCCAGAGTGCCAACGCGGAAAAACAACCCCAGCAGGTCCATCACGGAGTCGACGGTGTCTGGAAACGCAGGAAGCGTCACGAAGGCGATAATGCTGCCCGTGTAGCAGGACGTGATGATGATCGTAAAGAGCCAGTATGCTCCTATTAGCAGGCGCGTGGAAATCTTCTGGGTGTTGCTCCAGGAGTACTTGCCGGTAAAGGTGAAGGCGTTGGTGAACATCCCGAAGACGTACCAGAACATGTTTTCCACCTCGCCCCAGTTGCCCAGCAGATGGCTGAGAGTCAGGCGGTCGGTGAATACTATCGGAAAGATGCCCCCAAGGTAGACACAGATGAGGGCCACCCACACCGGCCACTGGAACGGACCCATAATGGCACGGTACTTTGGCAGGGCCTTGGAGGCCAGCGTGATGAAGGCGGCACAGTCACGAGAGTGGCCCACGGACATATCCGTGTCGCGCAGTCGCTCCTCGGTGAGGTATATCCCCGACATCCCGATGTCAACAGCCCTCTGGGCAATCTGCGTCTGGATGTTGTCCACCACACCGCGAGAGTACGCTCTCGTTGGCGTCTCGGTGATGTCCACCGAGAAGTTGAGCCGCTTGGAGATCATGTTCAGCAGGCGGAACTCCACTCCGTCCCAGCGCAACTGCCCGATGCCTGAGGAGTCAAGCGTGCGAATGCGGAAGATGAAGGGCGGCTGGTTGGCGGCAGACACCTGGAAGCGGTGGCCTGCAAAGCCGTTTTGGAACTTGGGCGGAAAAAGATTTATGTGAGGCCGGGAGAGGGCGCCTTTAATCCAGCTGGTGAGCACCACCGGAGTGTTGGAGCCCAGGCCGTCGGCGTACAACTTGTGCGTGTACAGAACATAAGGACGCTCCTGCAGCGCAGATGAGTCGGGTTTCAATATTTATTACCTTGCCATACTTACTCGAAGGGGGTCCGACATCAAGGACTCTCCAATGACCAGCAAGTTCACGATATTTGAGGAGAGCTCTGAGGCCAAAAAGTCTCGAAGCTTCCACTGGGTGGACCTTGAAACGAGCACTACGCGGCTCTCCGTTTGGGGGCCCAGGATCTTCCGAGTCATCAGGGGGTCGGAAAGGAACAGAATGTAGCTCTTGCAGCTGCTGTCTATGTGGCCCGTGAAGTGGGTGTTCTTGGCCTCGTAGCGGGAGTTTATTTCGCCGTGGTAGAACGTAATGGGAAGGGTCTGGAATTCCTCAGTTAATTCTAAGCCTTGCTGACGCGGACTCTTACCTTAAACAAGTTCTCCAGAATGAGTCCATCGGACTTTTCCACAAAGCTATCGTAGTATATGACTGGAGGGCACTTTTTCAGGTACTCCTCGGCTATCTTGTTGACTAACCCGACTAGGGAGTTGGTCTGATCGAAGTTGTAGGCGTTCACATGGAATTTCGCGGCCAGTAGGTCCGCCCGGGGCTTTGGATTACCGTGGAAGGTGGGGTCCACCCGCCGCTTCTGACGCGGAGGGCAGCTGCCATAGAGATCCTCGTTTAGCTGGTACCGATTTATGAGTCGCCTGCTCACACAGTTCTCGGGAAAGTCCTGCCTCTCCAGGCAGTTGCCAGCCATCCAGTGGCTGGAGAATAGAGCTAAAACTATCCACGCTTCCCACATTGCGACTGGGGATATGTGCTCGGCTGCGAGCAGCAGGTCCTTTTATACCATCTCAGTCGGGGAAACCTGCACGCTAGGGTCATCACCTTATCAAATTACAGGGCCCAAAATCGTCGTAATTGCAACACCTGCTGAAATATAGTTCTATACTCTGTTCCGCCTACCAGAAAATCGTTCTGAATAGGATATACCCCCTGAAGAGTCGAATCAAACGCTTAAATAGTCAAATTTTATTACAAACATACGTACATTCATACACATAGGTGTTGCTTTTTACAATCGTTAGCACAAAATACTTAATTCACTCGTTTTGTCAGAAGGTCCTTACAGTGCGCCCAGCTGTTGAAAGCAAAGCTCCTACTTCGTATGTCCTTATAGTAGATGCAGATATGTCTAATTATATTGCATGTGGATCCCCTTAATACTTTCGCCTACTGATACCTTAAGTGCTAACCTACATTTGTCTCAATGAACTGAACTATCGGCTCTTGTTTCTGAAGAACGGCTAAGTATTGGCAATCGATTCCTCTAATTATGTCGCTTCTGATCCGCGCTCATTGACTTTTTTCGGATGTCCATCGGTAGGGACTAAGAACTGGGCAAAGGGTAGCTTTAAGTCGTTTAATAAAGGTTGTATCGGGAGTTTGGGGACGAGCCCAGAAACTAAACTATTCCATGCACCCAGTGGGGAATCAGGGAAACTCTTGGGACGGCTGTTGTGAAAGAACTATACATGTGGAAACGGGTTAGTTGGATTTTTTGAATGACCTGTGCACGTCTAATAGTACGTAAATTCTGCTGCAACTCTTTATCACAAATTAATCGAAAATATATATGTTAGCCTATCTCTAATGCGCCCGTCGCCTCCAATCCTGTCGAGCATTCTACTACGATATCGAAGGACTGCATTTATTATTCTTAGTGCTTATTAGTCTAGTGCCTTACGCCTAATTGCTCTACGTGTACAAGGACTCTGTGGGGATTGCGTGCGCAACAACTACAGGAAATCCGTACAAGTGGCAATCTATAGGAATATACAGATATATAGGCATATAGATATATAGGTACATAGGTATCGAGTATGATGTGTACGAAGGAATAAATAATTTTTAGTATCATGCTCCAAAAAAAATTAACTATGATCGTTGTTGTCGATGTCCTTTTCGAGAAATTAGCTACTAAATTAGAGTACTAAGAGTAGATGAAAACGTTTATCGAGTGAATTCCGTATTTTGAGCTCAGATGAAAAGGGCCCTATCCTTCGGCATCTCAGAGATGGCAGCGTGTTCCCGACTGCCCGAGCTCCAGATCCACGGTCAATGCGAGACTGGTGGGAACTGACGCCTTGCAGTCTACGGAGCGGGCTCCTCCACCTCGTTGTCGATGCGCGACGACCGGATGCCTGATTTGCCGGTCCAGGGGTAGATGTCGGGGCAGGGCTGACACGTCTTCATGTAGCGGACGCCGGACTTGTGCCACAGGTTGCACACCTTCGGGTTGTTGCAGCGCTTGGGCCGGTCCTGGATTGGGAAGGGATTTGATTAGACTGGGATATAATTAGACTCGGTCTCGGCTCACCGAGTAGTCGCATTGGAAGGGCTGGAAGGAGTTGATGCGCGAGATGGGCGTGGGATCGCGCACCCACTGCAAGGCCTGCCAGTTGGTCACGATCCACACGTCTGGCATGGCGTTGATGGCGTCGAGGAACTTGATGAAGCCCTCCTTGTGGTGCGGCTGCGTGAACCAGGCAGCGTGGTAGAAAAGCCCGAAGGGTGCCCTGTGGAATTGAGAAAACGTATTATAACTTTTTGTACAAAAGGGATAACACCTGAGACCCACCTGTTGGTGGTGTAGTGCCGTTCAAAGTTCTTCATGATCATTTTGGTCACGCCCTCCGCATCGCTGGGGTTCGAGCAGGCGTCGCCCATAGAACAGCGGCCTCCGTTGAGGTCCTGCCACATGACCATTGGAACCTGCCAGACCCCTGGGTATGATCGGGTTGGGCAGGGCGGAATCATGCAGTCGTGGAAGATCTTATAGTCCAGGGTGTAGGGCCAAGAGGGCGGCCGATTCTCGTAGACCGGCATGGAGGAGTCGTAGGTGAAGTTGGAGTCGTACAGCATCTTGTACATCTTGTTACCGCCCACCGAGAGGAAGGGCGCTCGCATACCGCGCACATCCGACAGCTTCACCCCGCCGTAGGCAGCCAGGATCTCCCGCTGTCCGGCGATTTCCCGAGTCCATTTCTTCTGGGAGAACTGCTCTCCGAAGCTGTGACTGTGATTTTGGCAAAATAAGGATTAGAATTTGGACCTTGTACGAATGGCAAGTCAATTGTTAATTAGAGATGGGGTTTTAGTCTTAGGAATGGATGTTTGGTGCTGAGGGAAGATGCTTTCTTTACTACTGTGTTTCGGGTACTTCAGCTACTGGGTTGTCTTTGCTGTGTTTGTGTTATCTGGAGATCCAGGATCCAGTGGCAGCTACTTACGAAACTGTGTGGGAGGCCATCTCGTGTCCATCGGCGTAGAGGTTCTGCACCTGGCTGTAGTCGGTCCACTCGTGGGACACGTAGAAGGTGGCCGTGATCGGACAGCCGTTGGGGTTGACGCGGCCCTTCTCGAACAGATCCGTGTACAACTGCTTGTTCAGATCGTTCACGGAGTCGTCGAAGGTCAGGAGGACGATTTGGGGGATGCTTTCAACGGGCAGTTCGCCTAGCAATGCGGATGGAGTGAATGTGGAAGAGTAAGCGGAAAATGTAGAGGATTCGACAGAGAAGCTTGTAACCAGAGGAAAGCGAGGCAGATCTGAGAGACGATTCTTGAAGGGAATGTGACCCTGGCTGATGCAAAACGGAGACCAACGCAACTTACGAAACGGTGTGGGAGGCCATTTCGTGGCCGTCCGCGTACATGTCTTGAACCATCCCGTAGTCCGTCCACTCGTGCGACAAGTAGAAGGTCGCCCGCCAGGGGCAGCCGTTGGGGTTGCTGCGGGTCTTGTTGTTGAAGAGCTCCTCGTAGAGATCGATGTTGATGGCGTTGATCGCATCATCGAACGTCATCAGTACGATCTGCGGCGTCTCTGTGACACTCAAGCCGCCTACGTATGTTGTTGGTTTTGTGTTTACTGTGTAGCCTGCCTAAATCTGAACCTGCCTAACCGGATTGCCGGACGAGTACTCACCTGGAATGTCCTTGCCACCGCAGTAGCAGTCGGGCAGCAGGCACACATCCTTGCGGCACTTGGCCGCCGTCTTGTCGGGTGTGGGCTGCGGGTAGATGGGGTCCGGTCGGGAGGGCGGGTTGCGGTAGATGTCCACGAACTCCTGGGCCTTTGAGACGATGGTTCCAGAGGGCTTCAACGTGGGCCGGGTGCGTCTACATGGAGGGCTTCAGTTAGGATTCACATACTCAACCACAGATCGGAATACTCACGGCGGATGAGTGCCACGGTTCGGGGTCGAGACGACATCCCGGTCCTGGTTGGTGTAAATGGCACTGCCCCGGTTTCTATTGTTGTTTCTGGATACATTTTGGGGGATAAGGGGTTTAGTTATCTAGATATTAAGCAATTATTCTCTGGGGTGTCAGGTAGGCGACACAATACGGGTTGCGCGGATTGCTAGTTTGTGCTACAAACAAAGATACAGATGCGGAATGAGTCCTTCACCCCCAACACCACGATTATAGTTCGAGGAACAGATGAGTTTCTTATCGCTATCCTTAACCAAGTTAACCGCCACCAGCATACGCAGAACAAACGAATTTTATCGGCCAATTTTCGTAAATATTTTCAACAGTGAGAACCAAAAAGTTTGTAGCATACTTATGTGTCACGTGTGGGAGTGTTTCGTTTATTTAGGCTGAGAAGAGACAAAAGTGTATAGAGTTGAGTAGAGAGCGCGGGGTCACTGGGAAGAGGAAGGAAATAGTTTATATTCGTGACGAAACTGACGCGTTCAGGTCATAGATACAGTGTTGCTTCGAGTTCTTCGAGGAAGTGGTTTGGGTGACACTCTAGGAACTACTAAACTTACTCTCTGTAAAATGTGCGAATAATAATACTACGATTGCAGGTCGAAGGTCAGTCAGTCAGTAGTCTTAAGGCTAATACACAATTTCGATTGAGGGGCTCTTTTGATTTAAAGAACTTGTACCAGACCTCTTAGTTCTCACGATTCTTTCCAATTACGGCAAATGAAGACGATACAAATAATAGTAATAGAAATAAGAATTAAGAAACGAAAAAGATCAGTGGGGAATAAATCACTACTTGTGAACTTGAACTGGCCACCACCGGTACGATTACGTGATCAGATATCGGAATTTTAATGCGTACACCTTCTAGCATCTAGGACTATCTACGATTATTGCAACATTTTACACAGCAGCTTGAATTTAGTAGCGACTAGCATGTCTCACTCCTGGGCGGCGAGGACAGGACTCTGGCCTGTCTCTACGGTGGAAGCCACTAGAGCCCACATCACCAGTATGGGTGTCGTAAGTACGGGTATTAGAGGTGGGTGGAATGAGGGTGGATGAGACTAGAGAGTAGGAACTAGAGAAGCTGGAGAACAGTACTTTCAGTACGATACGGTGTTGAGTGGGAGGCTATATGGTTGTTGGGTGTGTTCGAACGAATTACGGTGATTCTAATAGAAGGATAATACAGACGGAGACAGAGCGATCTACTGATCTGGGCGTGGGTGGGTGTTGGGCTGTACCTTGACGGGATCTCGTTGCACTTGGCGTTCAGTGTGCTATCTGAGCACTTCACTGAGGCGGAGGTTGCGGCTGCGGCTGCGGCAGGATTGCTGATGCTGCTCGACGAGTGCTTGCCAATGCTGGGGTCGAAGCCAAATTGGAACTTGGGCACCTTCCCTTTACCCGCCGCCAGCCCCTGCTGCGGCTGGAAGCCCGCCGGGGAGGGGGGGCTAGCGCTCGCGCCGGATTGGACCGCGGCGATCGACGACTTAATGACATTGTTCACCCTCGAAGCGCGGGCAGTGGGCAGTGCAAACGTGGCGGGGGGTGTGGCAGTGACGGTGGTGGTGGCTGAGGCGGGGGTGGGCGGATTCGGGGGAGCTGGCTGAGCTGGAGGGGCTATCGGAGGTGTTCTGGGCGTACTAAGTTCAGGGATGGCTGTCGTGGTTCGTACAGTGCTGGTGGAGGTGGGAGCGGTGGAGGACTGGAAGGAGTAGCTTTTTGGCGAGCTTGTGACGGCGGTGGATCGAGGGGGCGCGACGGGCAGGGTGGTGGAGCGCAGCGACTGCTCCGTGGTCAGATACAGGTTCTTGATCTCATCCACGGCAGCGTTTGTTTCCGGCACCGCGTACTCGTCCACGAAGTGGGACGTGCCGCTCTCGTCGCTGGTGCTGGAGCTGTCGCTGCCGGCCAGGAACTGCTTCAGTTGCTCCAGCACATTGGCCGATCGGAACTTCTGTGCCCTGGAAATGTATCCTGCATTTTGCAGACTCTCCGCCAGCGTGCGCTCCGCGGTCTGCTGGCGGTACTTGTTCGAGTAGAGAAACTTTACCGTCGGCCGCTCCGTTATGGCCACCACGTGCTCCGTGGAGCTGACCGTTTCTTCAAGGCTGTTCTGCTGCCTGGCTTCCAGCGGGTGGCTGATCAGGGCCTCGGCCCGTGGCTCGTCCGGCAGGCTGGCCTCGTTCTCGATGGGTTTACGCTTCAGCGACTTTGACGGAAGTTGGTCGTAGCCGGAGTCCGTGGCCTGGAGGGCGGCTTTGTAGACCTCGTACTTCTCCTGCGGCTTAGCTGTGGGCTCTCGGAACACGCGGATGCGTTGTGGCTTCCGTTTTACGTAAGGGCTCGGCTCATACCCGTTGGGCAGCCTCAGCTTGGGGGCGTAGGTCGTGGGTTCGTCCGCCACATCGCCGAGGCTGTTCGAAGTGGGCACCGTGTATCGGGAGCGGCCGCGAGGACGTCCTGGCAACTGAGAGACGCGAAGGGGCGACGAAGCAACAACAGAGGAAACGGTGGTTGGGGTCGTGGTTGTTGGCACCGTTGGCGGAGGAGGCTCCGTGGTGGTAGTGCTCGTGGTGGTGGTACTCGTTGTCCGGAGCATGGTGGGTGCCGGTCTTTGCGGGCTGAACGTGCTAAGTATGGCGTCGCTGACACTGAAGTTTCGGGCATTGCCAGAAGCCATGGTGGCCAGGACATCCTGGCTGGTGTTTCTCGACGTCGGGGTGAGGAACAGACTCTTCGGTGGCTTCGGCGTCGTCTGCAGGAAGGGTGGCGAGGCGGGGGCGTTCGTGTATCTGGGCCTCGAGGTTGTTCGCAGGTTGTGCTGGTGCTGGCGCTCCTCCTGGAGCAGGTTCTCCAGGCTCTTGTACGGCGAAACGAAACGCGTTGCCGGGTTGGGAGTCACTTTGTTGAGACTGTCCTTCAGGAAGTTGGCGCGGGCTGTGAAGCTGGGAATCATGCCAACGATCTTCTCGGTGCTGGGGGTAATCTGAGCCCTGGGCACTGTTGTTGACCTCAGGGTGCTGCTGGACTCCACGCTGTCCGGGGTGTTCGAGACGAATGGTGCTGGAGGTGGCGTCCTTGCATCAGACGTGGTTATTGGACTCGAAGTGGTCGGCCTGTAGAATCCCTGTTGAATAGTGGGTCTTCCGTTGCGCCAAATGCGGAGAGGAGGGGCATATGTGGTGGGTACTATTTCCACGTAATCATCGGAGGTATCTGCTTGAGGTGTGGTGGCGGGCGTGGTTGTAGTAGTCGTTGTCGTGGTTGTGGTTGTTGTAGTAGTTGAGGTTGTGGTTTTATTCTCAGCCTGCTCCACAAACAAACTGAATCCGTGCGATCCACTCTGCAGGCTGTACTGGATGGGATGCTTATTAGGTCGAGACGTACTGGAGCTCTCCATGAGTTCCTCCTGAGAAGGCGCTTTTCTCTCGTTTCCGGGAATCCTGAAGCTCTGAGGCTCTACATCGGACAAAATATAGGTTTGAATGCGCTTTCGCTGTTGCGGCTGGTCCGTTGTCGGAGAGGGATGTCCTTCGAGGGGCCGGTAGAGAGCTTCCCTAGGGGCTGGCTTAACGGGCTTCTCCGACACCGAATGCAACAGATTGCCCCGCGGGCTGGTGCCGTAGGCGGCGGCATTGATAAAGTCCAGGAACCTCGGCGCAGTGCTCGTTTCGAAGGAGCGGCTGCTGGGCGCCTCGGCTGTGTGGACCTGGACGTTCTGACTCTCGTCAAAGACGGTCTCGACCTGCTCCACTTGGCTGCTGCCCGCGCTATCGGTCCCTAGGGGCCATTGGGTGGTCGAGGAAGGTGAAGGATGGGTGGCTGGGAGAGGGGATCGGGTCGGTTTTTGTGGAGACGACTGACTGGGGGAAACTAGGCTGACCAGCGACTGGGCCAGGCTCTGAAGCTTTGACTTGAGAAAGGGGTTGGAGCTGTAAGTGGAGGGATTGAGTTTGGGGGGTGTTGTCGTGGTGGACGGCTTTCGGGGAGCCTGTGGGGCTGTGGTGGTGGCGGGTGTGGGTGTGGTGGACTTGGTCTTTGACTTTTGGGGAACGTGTGGCTTGTGGGGTTTATTTGCATGCGCTTTCGAGCTGTTGAAGAGACGTGTATTTAGATCAGTAATCACATATGGTTAGTAGCTTATCCTAGCTGTGTTCGGTGGGCCTTTTCCTGACTAGCCTTTTGGTTCTCAGATTTCGGAATTTGAGTGGGTTGGGGAGCGGGTTATCGTTCGAGATGGCGGTACATGCTCATGCGTAGAGTACATACATATATTGCGCGACACCTATCAGTTATCTTATGAGTAGACATGCAATGGAGAGATTTCTTAATCACAGTACAGGGATTCGAGAGACAGAGATAGGGTCTAACAGTCAGCAGAGTTTCAGATCGATGGCGTGATGCGTTGCTTATAAGAATGGTCTAGAATCTAGATCCTAACCCGAAGCGATTTCGGCAAAGCTGCTTGAGAGAACTATCTAACTAAGCGGGTGTATTTGTGTTTGTTGGAGTTGGAAAGTCCTGGCTTATAATAGATAGATGGATGAGGTCCACAACTTGTCGGATGGCCATGATGTCTATGGCTCCGACCTTAGTATGTACTGTATTTTGTGGTGGTGTGATCTAATGAGATCTTACGAACTAAGGCGCCTAAGGTCAGCTATCTGCGAGAATTTCTCTTTTTGGCAATGGGTCTCTCAAAATACCTATACCTTTTTGGAGTTGTCGTTGATGGTGGTGGTGTGGTTGTACTTGTAGTTGTTGTGGTGGTGGTGGTGGTTGTGGGCTTTGTAACCTTTACGGCTTGTGTCGTGGGAAAGGAGGAACTCTTCGTGGGGCTCCTGTCGATGGCAGGAGTGGACTTCGAGTTCTTGGCCCGAGTCGGGGCGGCAGTGGCACTCTTTCCGGTTGGGCCAACCACATTGGCGGAGAGGTCGTAGTCGTCCGCCTCGGAGCGGGGCTTCGTTCGCGTCAGAGTGGCCTCGCTCTGGTCATAGTCCTCCGGCGAGCCGTAGGCGTACTCCGCCGAACTGGAGTAGCTGTAGTCGGGCTGACTCAAGCCAGAGCCATCTGGGGTGGTCAGCGTGTCATAGTAGGTCCGGATATCCGGGCGGGCAGCTGGAGTGGTCGAGGAGGGGGCGCTCGAGGGCGTGGCAAGCCGTTGGATAGCCACTTGCTCCGGCCTGGTAGATAAATGTATTGTATGTATGGTGGGTCTTTGGCAGAAGTGTGTGAATTTTGATGTGTGTGTGTGGATTGTGTGCAGCTAGTGTTCGACAGGACTCTATCTGGGGTCTATATGGCTAACCCGACCGGGTTCTAGGGGTCTAACACGGAAGGGTATTCTTCGGTGCGGTTTGGGGTTAGATTGCTCTGCTAGGCTGACTGTTTCTGTGTGGGTGATACCTCCGTCGATGGATGAGTTTCAAGATCAAGATGCCCCGAACTTGAGTAATGACGCGGTGAGCTTGTTATCTATGGTTACTTACCTCGGAGGCGATCGGGTCGGTTGATCGTAAACGTTATCCTGCTCGATCTGGCCAAAGGAGGCATAAGAGGAAAGTTTAGTTGGTGGCACTTCTGGATTTCCTGTCGCTACTTACCTGAGCATTGACGTCCTCATCGTAGTCCGTGCTGTAAACCAGGGTGGGCTGGTTACCGTAAGATGCCTTCTGGGGTGGGGTGGGCGTGGCAGACAGCTCGATTGGTCGGTAGGTGGACTGAGTCTGCTGCTGGCGCACGACCGGCTGGTACTGCGCGGCAGGCGGAGGCTGCTGCTGTTGCTGCTGATCCCGCTGATCCTGCTGCTGCTGCTGCTGGTACTCTATGTCCCTGTATAAATCGATATCGTCGTCGTAAATAGAATAATAGGATGAGTCATAGGGATGTGATGGGGCTTGCGCCTGCTGCTGCTGATGTGGTGGCTGCTGTTGTGGCGCTTGTTGCACTTGAGCTTGTTGGAATGGTGTCGGTTGTAGCTGTTGTTGATGCTGCGGAACCTGCTGCTGCTGATGCTGCTGGTAGCCACCCCCGCTCCCGCTCCCATGGTTAAATATGGATGCATTGTAGTAGTTACGACTGAGTTCTTGTGGCTGTGGCTGTGCCTGAGGCGTGGGCTGTACAAAGATGTTAGCGGGTGGTGGCGGCGCCCCCAGCGATGACGGTGAGGATGACTCGACTCTGTACAACACACACGTGGTTGGATTGGATTTTGGGAGTGATGATGAGATGTTGTCGAGTGAGTGGCGCAGATTATTTACAGCAATTAGATAATGGGAGATAATGGAGATATGTTGGCAACAGGGGAGAGAAATGGGTAAACGAGATCAGAACACAGTTCATTAAAACGAGGAGTTAGATATACCAGAGGTCAGATGGGCATAGACAGGCGGGAGCAGAAGTTAGATGATGAGTTAGAGATCGGGTTATATTTGGTTAGGAGTTAGGTTAGAGTTAGAGTAGCCCAGTCCAGAACATTTTGTTTAGTCAACTGTACAGGTTCGATCCGCGGGTGATCGCTTAGTAACGGGTCGTATATGGTATATGTACATTTATCGGCTGTATCTCGTGTATCTGTATCTTGTGTAGCGGCACAAAGTTTCATCCAGCAGCGAGCCACCTCGCGTGTCTCTCATATCTACCTGTGTCGCTCCCCACCGGCTGCGGTGTGGATGGAGTTCAGCTGCAGGCCGCCTAGGCTGCTGTGTTTGCTGTTCGATTCGATTTCAGTCTTGTTCCTGCCGGGGATCTCCGGCGCGGACGTCATCCACTTCTGTTGCCCTCTGGAGCGGGGCCGTGTTGTGAACCGCCCTCGAGTGGTGCTGCTTGGAGTGGTTGAGATGAGAGTTGTGGGCGTGGGACGCGTGATGCGTGGAGCGGTGGTTGTGACCCGCGGACTAGTCTCTGTGAGCTGGGGTAGCCGCTGCTTCAGCTCCTGGAATATGTCGCTGGGGAAGCTGATGAAAGAGGGCACTCCGGTCTCCACGTTTGGCTGGTTCAGTTGCGAGAAGTTTGGGAATGGACGACGAGTGGTGGTGGCTTCCAGGAAGCCTGTTTGAAAGTTGGGAGGGCGCAGCTTGCCCGGCGACTCTGTGACCATTTGAGGCCGTGGCGGGGCCATGGTCTCCGACATGGGCATGTATGGCGGCATTTGCGAGGGCGGCAAAATGTCCTCCTCGTCCTCCTCGTAGTCTTCATCGTAGTAGTCCACGCTCTCGAGGGTCGTTGTGGACGTCACTCGCGGAGTAGTCGGCGGCGGGGTCGGAGCAGAAGTCTGGGTGGAGCTGGTCTGCTTGCTGAGCTGCTTTTGAATGCCCTTGATGAAGCTCTCGTAGCCCTTGAGGGCCCTCGTCGTGGTTGTCGGAGGAGTCGCAGTGGGCGAGGTCGGTTTGGTCCTTATCCGAGGCTTTTGCGTGGGCGGCGAACTGGCCGTCGTCGGAGGAACCTGACTGGTGGAGCTGGGGCCCTGGACTAGGGTGTTGCGCAGACTTCCGTTTCCACTTGCAGGGCCATCACTGCTGACCTGTTTGAAGTACTTAATGAGGGGATTCAGCGCCGGATTGACGCTGGCCAGGTCGCTGTTTTTGAGATTGGCCATGAACTCGTGCACGTTGAACTGGAAGTTGGTGAGCTTAGACTTGGCAGTAGTGCTGGGCGGCTCCGTGGTGCTGATCGACTTGGTGAATGTCTGGTAGGATTCCGGCATGGTACTGTTGCTGGCGTAGCTAATACCCACCGGCAGGTGCGAGAAGTCCCGGAAGGGCACCTGCTGCAGGCTGTTGTGCCTGTTGAAGGCGAGATTTGGGGCGGAGACTACGTGCACGGGGGTCACGGGCGGCCGCAGCTTGACGGCCGAATGCCCTATTTGGTTGGGACGCTCCGAGCTAAAGACGCCCTTCATCTTCTGGTTTGCCACGATGTTGTACTGGAAGTAGCTGCTCTCCGTCGTGCTCCTCTGCGCCTCGGTGTCTGTTCCTATGCTGTACTGAGAGACCAGCTTTCCCGGATAGCTCGAGACCTGTTGGTTGTTGTAGAACCCGCCCATTGTGCTGTACTGGCCGTTGGGAGTGACCTGCTGCTGGGACGGCTTCAAAGGATCCACCTGGGAGTAGTACGAAAACGGAGCTTGCGCCGTGGAGGGAGCAGCCGGAAGAGCCGTGGAGGATGACTGGGTAACCGGCTGATTATCCAGGTGGAAGTAGGAGAAGTTCTCCGCTTGCAACTGCTTGCGCCTCTCCTTCAAATCCTTCAGCTGCTGGATGAGGTAGGGAAGCAGGTCACCTGGACCCGAGTGCTGCGGCCGGGGAGTGTTGGAAGCAGGCCCTGGTCCTGACGAGGTGCCCGATCCATAGTAGCTTCCGGCAATGGGCCGGAAGTCATCCTCCACCGGCGGCGGGGGAAGTGAGAGGTTGTAGCCCGTGTAGACGACCTTTGCCTTCTGCTGGGGCAGCGGTCCGGCGGGGGCTACTTGCTGTGCCTGGTGGAGATACGCCTGATAGCCTGGGCTGAGCTGGTTGTAGTTGTGGTTCACAAAGGGTGCCTGGGTGTGTGTGTGGGCGCTAGCGGGATTCGGCGGCGTCAGGTAGGGGTTGTAGTTTCCAAACGCGAATCCCGACTGTTGCTGCTGAAAGTTCTGGGCTGGCGGGGGAGCGTCAATGGCACGGTAGTTCTGCCCCGGCCACTTGGAGGAGCGCTGCCCCACGGGTCGCAGCTGGCGGGGTCGTCGCTTGGACTCGCCGGTCGCCACGTCCTCCCCAGTCTCTGTGTCCTCCTCCTCCAGCTCCATCTCGTCATCGGTGACCTGCTGGTAGTCGAACTCCATAGAAGCCAGGTTCTTGGGCTGGCTGATCTTCGAGGAATACTTCATGGGCTTCGTCACGGCTGGAGCCGCCTCGTCAAAGTGTTCCTGAGAGTTGTTGGAGCTGTTGGAGGTTTCCCCACTGATCGGTGGCGTGGTAGGGTCTTCGGGTTCTACGACTTCGCTGGATGTGTTGGAGTCGCTGTGATTTTTGGTTTCGGGCGTCACACTCTCGGTGACTTGGTCGCCCAGATCGCGGCGCTTGCGCAGGCGACCCTGGTCTGCACCATCGAGTCGGTTGTGTGCCAGTTCGTCTTCGAGTGTCCTGTCTTCGTCCAAGCTTTCGCTGTTTTCGTACAGGTTTGGCGGAGCAGTCGGATAGTCCGGAGTTCGGGGTCGTAGTTTAGAGTTCAGTGTTCGAGGTGTCGGTGTCGATTTGGAGCAAGATTTAAAGATAGTGCAGTATGCATTGTATGAGAGAAGAGAGCATGTAATACGATGAGAGTGGCGTAAAATTTGGAGATCAGTAAAGAGAGTAGTGGCATCAATTGAGAAGCACGAAGGATGAGTTCTACGAGCAAGAGCTAGAAGCGGGTTGATGTCCTGCTGGCTTACCTGTAGGCCGTTCCGAAGGCGTACGATCCGATTTTCCCGGCCTGGGGGATGGCATTGATGCTTGCCTGGTGAATGATTCCATCGCGGTCTCGCTGCACCTGACTGACGGTACTGGGCTGTCCGCGGTACACGCGCTGCTGTCGATCAGACTCCTCCTCTTCGACGGGCGGCAAGGTTTCTTGGGCTTCGGCGTACAGCTACACAAACGCGGGTATCATAATTATTATATTACCAATTATTTTGTAACTTCTAATTGGAGGAAATTATTAAATGAGGAAAAATTTTCAAGGAAAAGCAGAGATTCGATGTGGAAATCTTTTGAAGTATCCTGGTGAAGGATCGCATGAAAACTGGCAGAGAAATAGACATCGCTGTAGGCCATTTCGTTCTAAAAATCGTTTGAGGTATTCCGCTCAAGGAGCGGACAAAAACTGGCAAAGATATAGAGATCGCTGTGGGTATAAGGGTACTCCCCATACATTGCCCAGTTTTCATGGGTGTCGCCATGGAAAAACTGACAAAAAATCTGAAAATTTTATGGCCTCGGGGTTTTGATGCAGATTGGTGGAGAATCGATCTAGAAATCGTTTAAGGTATTCCGCTCAAGGATCGGACGAAAACTGGCAAAGATATGGACATCGCACTGGCCCATAGGGGTACTCCCCATACACTCCCCAGTTTTCATAGGAGTCTCCATGGAAAAATTGACAAAAAATCTGAAAATATTTTTGCCTTGGGGTTTTGATGCAGATTGGTGGAGAATCGATCTAGAAATCGTTTAAGGTATTCCGCTTAAGGATCGGACAAAAACTGGCAAAGATATGGACATCGCTGTGGGTCATAGGGGTACTCCCCATACATTGCCCAGTTTTCATGGGTGTCGCCATGGAAAAACTGACAAAAAATCTGAAAATTTTATGGCCTCGGGGTTTTGATGCAGATTGGTGGAGAATCGATCTAGAAATCGTTTAAGGTATTCCGCTCAAGGATCGGACGAAAACTGGCAAAGATATGGACATCGCACTGGCCCATAGGGGTACTCCCCATACACTCCCCAGTTTTCATAGGAGTCTCCATGGAAAAATTGACAAAAAATCTGAAAATATTTTTGCCTTGGGGTTTTGACGCAGATTGGTGGAGAATCGATCTAGAAATCGTTTAAGGTATTCCGCTTAAGGATTGGACAAAAACTGGAAAAGTTATGGACATCGCTGTGAGCCATAGGGATACTCCCCATACATTGCCCAGTTTTCATGGGAGTCTCCATGGAAAAAGTAACAAAAAATCTGAAAATATTTTTGCCTTGGGGTTTTGATGCAGATTGGTGGAGAATCGATCTAGAAATCGTTTAAGGTATTCCGCTTAAGGATCGGACAAAAACTGGCAAAGATATGGACATCGCTGTGGGCCATAGGGGTACTCCCCATACATTGCCCAGTTTTCATGGGAGTCTCGATGGAAAAAGTAACAAAAAATCCGAAAATTTCATAAGAAAGATAAAATGTTTAACCTGAAAAGTATACGTTCGTCGGCTTCGTCGACGAACCGTTTTTATGTTTAAGCCTAAAAATGATTAAAGACATTTGTCATGCGTTCTGTGCAGAACCAGTTTGGTATTATAATCATGCCATTGTTGTTCGATTTCATTTTAATTAAGGGCTCAATGGTGTCAAGATAATTTAAAATAATATGTGAAAAACCAGAAATGTGATTCTTTGTATTGAACATTAGAAAATTATTCATGATCTTATCTCATAAATATTTCTTCAGGGTAAAGACTGGTTTTCGATGAGCACAAACCACTTGATCACTTGCTCCGATCGATCTAGCGAGGATAGTCTTCCAAAAAACACTCACCTTCGCTATGTCCTCCTGGGAGTCGAGCAGAGGCTTCGGCTGACCGCGGGACGTGACCACCGGATTCGGCGGCACACGCAGCTCCGGGGGCGGCGGGATGTGCTGAACCTGGGCCTGGATCACCTGCGGCGGAGATCTGTGGTACTGCGGGGCCACAGTGGGCGCCTTCGATGCACCGGCGCCAGGGCTGCTGAAGGCTGAGCCGAAGCGGACTCGACTGGGGACGTGCTGCGTCTGGGTCTGGGCCTGGCTGCGGGACGGAACACGCTCCGCAGAGGAGGAAGTGTCCACCAGCTCGCAGCCCACGTTACGGGGCCAGTCGCAGGTTTGCAGCTCGTGCGAGTACATCAGTCCGCCGGTGCAGCTCTCCAGCAGGGCTCCGCCGAAGACGCACACGTAGTACTGGGTGCAGTCCGTGGGATGGGGGTAGTAGCCGAACTCCTCGGGGCAGTCGAAGCTAAGGCCATTGGAGCTGGAGGATTTCACGTTGGTGCCGAAGCCGCGGGAGCTGGTGACACGGGAGGATCGCTTTCCCTGGGCCTCTGTGTATCCTGAAAGAGAGAATTGAAAAGGGTTAACTATTTGAAGCCATCTGGAGGTATTTAGGATTTATAAACTTGAACTTGGACTGTTTCGGGTTAAACTTAAACGTAAACATGTTTGCCCTTTGCAAGTTGCACCTGTCTGGCGGTTGTGGTTGCAACATCTTGATTGGATGCTGCACAGAGCTTGTGGATGGGGGCACAAGGTGCAGCAGCTGTCACGGTTTTGTTTGCTCTTTTAATAGATTTCCCTCACACAAAGAAGCGAGCAGTCGAGCCGCAGACTTTTTGCCAATTGTTATTACTCCGCTTGACCTTCTCGAGCTTCTCAGGCTAAATGCCACCGGCCATAAAACTGGCTGGCTTCATAAAAGTGGCCGTAAACGCTCCGTAACGAAAAATATTAATAGCTTAACGGCCTACAGAGATGGCGGAAAGATCTTACCTAAAGGGACAGAAGGATCTTGATTCTTGATCCAAATTATTAAGCTTTTGAGTACTGTTATGTCATTTAAGACGATGTGTTCCTTTTTTGGCACTTAAAGTTTAATAATCGTTTGGAGTTTATTCCCCTCGAGTGGGTTATTTGTGCCGCACGGGTCCGGAATGTTAATTGAGCAACGGCCCACGGAAAGGAGAAAGAACGGCCCATGTGTGGTGGTTGCATAAGACCCAAAGTTTATGGCCATAATATACCTCGCCAGCATCCAAAAGAGCCAAAGCACCGAGTTTTCGCTGAATCAGCCATCAAGTGGCGACAATTTGCGGATAAAAAAGTTTTTAATTATAAAAACGTGCCGTTATAAGCCCGGTTTATGCTTCGGAAAGGTAACTGCACCCAAATAAGAGCTGACCTCAAAGCAGAACGAGCTCGGCTCCAACCAATATAGTATAGTGTGGTCGGGGAAGTCGGCAGCGAGCCCAAATTCGAGGCAACAAAGCCCCACTAAACACAAATACCAAAAACTGATTACTCCGAACAATTGGGGCTCAATTTGAATTCAATTGAAATCAATTCTTTGCAATCAAAGTTATTGCAGCTAAATGCTGCGCAAACAACGCCAAGTACGGCGGTTCCAAGGCGACTCCGTACTCCGTACTCTGTACTCCGGATGGCGGATTGCAATAATTCGTTGCTGGCTGCCTATCTGTTTTATTACATGACGATACCCAATAAATTAACTAGTCCCAGCCCCCGGTCGAGTGCAGCGTTTAAGTTGCATAAGAGCTGGGTTGGGCCGAGCATTCATATTTGGTGGGCTGGAACTCGCTTTAGAATGCTTTCGGGTCTCGGTTTTGGCGTCTGAGTCTATGACCCTTGAAAGGAGAATTTTAAATATTTATGAAATAAATATAATAACAGATTCCCTTCTCTAGAGTATGTTCTCCCGATGACATCCCTTGCAATAATAGGCCGTTATGTGGCACTTTTGACCCGACTCGTGCTATTCGTGGGGCACGTTGCCTGAGCCTCTCTGATGAGCCCGCTGGTTCCATTCACTTTTGCAATAAAGCAGCCAAAATCTGCTAGCTTTTGTGATTGGGCGTAGATGAATCGCTAATTCAAGGTACACGTCGCCCCACTGTGCTCCAGTATTTGCCGACAACAGTGGGGGAGAAAGGAGTCGACTGAAGTAATCATAGGACTGAATTCCTAAGACTTTCACGTAGTTGAGCAGAAACAGTGTCAAGGCTCCGGGAGGGCGTCCCTCCCCCGGCCAGCCCCCTGCCCCTCGCACTTGGCATGCAGTGCAGCCGGCACGCTCCACAAATTGTGTAATTAACGCGCAAAAACGTCGCAGACTTTCCGAGCCTCCAGAGCTACATTGACCGACTGAGACTGAGACTGAGACTGCGACTGATATACGACGTGCTGCTGGCTGGCAACGCAAGCAAATCACGTGCCAGCGGCAATTGGCCATGCCGGAGTGGCCGGGCCTGCCATCCGTACGGATGACATTTGTATTAGCCACTGGCCGGACGGCCCCCGCACTCGGCTGTTTGCATTTGCAGCCTTTGTTGTTGGCCATTGTGCTGGAGTTGTGTTGGCCGCTTGTTATTGCGTTTGTGTCGCCGCCGCGGGAGCTATGCAATCGTACTTTCTGCTCCACTAAGTTACAAGCGGAGCTAAAAAGCCACAGCTAGGAGGGTACACTGGAGCACTGTGTGAATACAAGCCAGCTTTTCTTACTCGAAACCTATTAAAAGCACTCGGAATCACTTTTTGCAGTGCAAAGCCAAGCTGGGGCTCGACTGCAGTTATGCAATCCGTAGTAATTCGACCATAAGCCTGATTGGTTTTCTTTGGCGCTTTTTGGTTGTTTGGATTGGCTTTTTTCGCAGTTAGCCCCACTTGTTGGGGCTCATGTTGAAGGAAAAGAATGTCATTCTGCCGCGCTCTCAGGCCTCCGAGGAGCACCACTCAATGGAGCACTTCCATGGCCCAAAGAAGCTGCAGAGCCAGCCCCCCAAGAGATGTAAATTCGGAAGCGTGCCGAGAGCTTTACGACCTCTTGGCTTCCCAGCCGTTGGCCTTTCCACCGACGATGTGCCCAAAGTGCACTCGACCAACAACTTCTCGGCCATAAAACGTGGCTTGATGAGCAACTTGACTTTCATGCCAGTCGGAAGCGACCATAAAACACGGCACTCGGATAAACGAGCATCGTGTTTGGACAACTCGCCGAAGATCAGCGTGGGGCATTTTATTATCAATTTATTGAATGGCTATCGAGTGGTGCTGGGCATTTAAAGTCAATAAAAGTGTCGTATCGCTAAGCGCTGAATATTTATAAGTGACCCTTCACGGCTGGGATGTCCGAGCTGTGATTTCTAGCGGTGACTCGCCAAGAGATTAGGCCGTGTGTCACCAGAGTGGTGGCATTGATTAACCGCTTCCGATCGCAAGGCGCTAATTTATGCAAAGCGGCTCTGCTCTAACGTCTTGAGCCTTAAAACTAACTCTTAACGACGTGTTGATGAGGCGTTCCCGGGCCTCGGACCGAGCTACTCCGGCGATGCGTCAGCCCGACCTGGCCAGCCCAGGCGGCATTTCAACACTGCCTCCGACTTATTTGAGGCCATAAAATTGGCAACCGCCAATAGCATGGCCAAATTTAGACAAATGGCGCGAAACATTGCACTAATTGCCACCTCGTTTGGCAGCCGCATGGATCTGATTTATGTCCACCGTAATGAGCCACTTTACCACATCGGGTTTCTGCACAAAAGCGGCCAAAAAGAATAGGGTCTCTCGGCCAGTTTCGACACCATGGCACTCGCTCGCTTGCCCCTTCTTGGGGGCCCTTTGGCTTTAATTAAGTGGTCGGAAAGCAAATTTCTTTTGGCATGTTCAGTGGATGGCTCAATTTCGATTTCGCGTGCCTCGCGATTGAACTTTTAATTAAGCGCGACTGACCGCGGCAAGTTTGTTGCCTCAGTCTTTCGATTCGCTGGGTGCGGTCCGCAATTAAACGCACGCCAGCCCGCTAGACGGAAATATAAATCACGGCCCGGCTCACGGCTCTGGGGCGCACTTTCGTTTGTTTTCGTTTTCAATCGACTGCCCAAATCAATGAAAGGGAGGGGGCGTGGCGCCAAGCCTCGAAGGGGCGGCAAAGACAGCCGCCCCAATTGTTGCATTCGTTCGTTAAGTTTTCTTTTTATTACGAAACCCGGCTCAGCTGACCACGACTGCGAGTCCAGCCAGGTTCCCTGCTGATTCCATTCACAATTTCACACGCGAAGGAAACTAACTAGCAGGAGCATCGGTTGTGGTTTCAGTTTCTTTTTAAAGGAAAAGTCTGCGACCCCAGCTGCACTTTCCGGCGACGAGCTGTGGGATGGGGAAATAGCCCCGCCGTCCAGTCTTCCGCCGGCACGTGCTCCAACTGTTAAAGCAGTGCGTTTCTAAACTGTTGCTACCAGCGGGTCGTAAATTTTTACTCCAACAAGCCACAAACAATTAGCCACGAGTTGGGTCGAGCAGAAAAGAGATTGAGCCGTCTCGGGGTATTACGAAATGCCGTGTGTGACTGTCGCTTTAGAAAGTAAAACAAGACAGTATTCTTTGGGAGGTAATAAATGCAAATATACAATTTCGATTAGGAAACTTTAACTCCCATAAGGTTTAAGTTTGTATATATTCAGGGGGCATTATAAGTTGTGTTAAAGACACATCGCCTACATTAAAAAGTTAGAGCCTATAATCTCGATCAATAAATATAATAGGTCCCCGATTAATGCTACTGAAGGACCTACTGGACCTCAAAAGGTTATCAAAGCGACTTACAACACAATTTGTCTTCTGAGGAAGCTGATGAGCTGCTGCGATGAGCCTGGAGGCAGCCTATCCATCAGAAAGCGATGAAAGCATCACTTAGCAAGCGGAGAAGACAACATCTGGCCGTGTCATCAAAATGAACCAATTTTCCATTTCGATTTCAGCGTTCGGCGGCATGACAGATTTAGGGGACTTGGACTTGGTCCCGGCTTGGCAGTCGCATTCGGAGATGGCATACAAAGTAAAAATGAAATAATCGCCATGAGCAGCGATGGCGTAGTGAACCATTTCGAGTGTACCACAAAACAGGAAATATGCAGCACTTACTCAGGCTCTGGCTCTGGCTCTTGCCTCATTGCTTTCCTTTCGTCGTGGCTGGGGCCCACATTCAAAGACTAAGTAGAGCTGCGGCCTAAAGCGCTTTTCGGCTATTATGCAACGTGCCTATCGACTGGCTTAGTGGACTTGCTGGCTTTGTGTTGCCAACAATCGACCGCTTTTCCTTTCGACTGTTTTTGGGGGAGAATGCTCCAATTGCAGCTCGTACTTTCTTTGCCCACTTGCGAGCCGCTAGGCCGAGGGGTTTTTGGGTTTTTGTGTGCCCCATTCGACTTTGGTTTATCACCTCCTAATGATCTCTGGCTCGCCAAAGTCGATTATTCGGTCGGCTCCAGCCATCGGCCCGGCTCTACGTGATCCTGTGAACCAATTCGAAAGTGGTGCGCCC